CCATTTTCACACAACAATATACAATGGACGATTTAGTGGTGCCTATTCATTAGAGTTTAGCGACTCCTTGTTAAAGTAAGTGGATTTTTTAAGCCTTCTATTCACGTAACTTGTGAAAATTCCCTCTTGGTGTGAGGCGTAAAACTTCAAGTGAAAATGCTCGAGTATCCGGTAATTATTTTGCGAGTTATTCTCTATTTAGAGTGTGCAAGTAAATAATTAATAAGCATGAAATCAGTGACAGAAAGGAGCGCGTCGTAAGTTTCCCTATCATGTATTTAAAACCATTATGACTAGTAAATTTAAATTCAATAAATAAATACGTCTTTGCTTTATAATATACATGCATGTTTAGAAGTGCTCAGTTAAAACTACAAGCCATGTCTCCTTCAACTAGGAGACTTTCTCGTCATAAATGTGCGTTAACTCTCAGGCAGGTCGGTCTTAGTCTCTTGAAGCGTGCCAGAAAGTATCACTTACAGCAGGATTATCACCGATAGAGCTGAGCAGGATATCACGTCTTATTGGAATCCGATGAGAAGAAAAGGCTCGCTTCAATCAAATGAGACATACGGAGGGAAGCTGCTCCCTCTCGGAGGCATTTGAAGGCACGGAGCAGAAATCCCGAGCCCGCGAAAGAGGCTCCTTCGCTTCTCCGTCTCAAAATTTCAATGGGTAATTGGCCGGAGGATGTGAGCCGTATTGAGCGGGAGTGAAGAGCCCCCTAATTGACGGAAGAAGAAGAGAGCGGATATCGCTGGTTTCACGGAGTCCACCGCCAAAGGAACAAGTTCCGTCCCGACAAAATTTCGCTTCTGATTTCGCTCGCTCGAACTTCTGACTTCACAGGTTTCGCGTCGAATCAAATCCTCAGTCTCCAGTCGAGCTTAAATAACTGGAGTTCCAGATAAATTTGCGTTTAGCTGAAAACTCGTGCGATCTGTATTGTTTTTTAAAGGCGAAATGTTAATACGATTTAAAATCCTCGCTATTTACGTCAGGAAACTTGCAACGTTTTGTCTCGTCCGTTGCTTTGACGAGTCGAGAGCTACACGTCGCTGCAAATCTGTAACTAGTAGGTAATAAATTTGATATACTAATTTTACCATAGTTGGTATATGTGTTTCTCATTTGGCCGAAATCTAAAGACCCATCAGTTAGCACTAATTTCTGGTTTTCATGGGCGCGTCTGGCAGGCTCTATTGTGCTTCCCTCTCTAGAACTGCTCAGTGCGCTCCATTTATTCTTTTGTGCGGTCATTTTAGCCGAGGTTATTACTGTGCTCTGAAGCAACATTCATCACCCAAACGCCTTGCAAATAATCGATATGCCTTGGTGACTCTGAGCTCCTTTGTATCAGATCGCGCAGAGATGGCTTGTCGAATTATACATTTCACAGGGCATTTACAGTCATTTGGTTATTGTTCTAGGATTAAAAGTATCTTATAGCAAAAACTGGTGTGATAATTCATAAGACAAATGCCACTGGATCATTGTGATTTACCCGTTACCAATGACGCTAATTTGGAGATTAGAATATTAAACTTTGATCAATTCTGAGACTATAATTTAACGTCGTAACTTTAGTTTGAAGAGGACTTGCCAAAATGATGTGGTTTCCCTGAAAAAGAGTAACATTTATATCTTTGGAATGCTAATACCTCGTTTCTGTACGGACACACGCAAGCGAGCCATCACTTCCTGTCAACAAACTTTACAATTGCAGTCGTCTCTTTTTCCTCATAGTATTGTTTCGAGACTTTTTTGCGTTTGCACATTTGGCAGATGTAGGTATGATCTAATGCATTCAACATTTATGATCAGAATTGTCTTTGGACAACGATTCCTTGTGAACGAGCTAATCATTTTTTTTTCTTAAATTTACTCTCGTATGATTTATATCAAGTTTATGTAATGTATTTTCAACTTTCTTCTAGGGTCACTTGACTAATTCTTCAATCAGCCTTAATGTTTGGACAATTCTATTCATTATGGGATGCTCTAGAAAACAAAGCACTGTCATTTATTAAAATTGTTGTAAAGACGTTTTGGATTCAAATGTTTGGTTTTTATTAACATCGCGCCTAACGCCTCTATGACCCGCGAGTCTCTCAAGGCAGAGCACGCGTCTTCTCGGTAGAAAAGGCCTAGAATTTTGTGGCTGCTTCGCGAGCGGACGGCCCTTTCGTTCTTCTTAAGAGTTTTAGGCTCACTGGGCTGTTGATTATCAGGAGGATTTGCTGCCACGGCGCCTGCTAATTGCTCCTTTTGATCGCCCTCCTAACACTAAGAGCGCTCTTTAAACCTTTCTTATCTGCCTAGTATTGCGTTTGATGCTAAAGTGGATTAGTTAATGCAATAAATGAATTTCGGGTGTTTTTAATTAACGCTCCGAGATGAAAGTACCTCGTTAGTATCTAGGGTCTGCTTATTGCACTCTGTATGTATCATAATAGATTTCTGCTTTAATTAGTGCAGATGCTTCTAAATGGAATTTGTTATTGAGTTTAAGCTGAATTTAAAAGTCCTCCTTGCATGTCACTGAAGAGGTAATATTGCCGCGAATCGTGGCTCGATTACTATTTCCTATATTGTATCAAAACTACGTAACAACATCACATATAATTTCCATGTTCCAAAGCCTGCTAATTCATCGTAAAATGGTTCGAATTATTATACTTCATGTGCCTGGCAGCTGTGGACGAAAACTTGCATTTTAAAGGAAGTCTTGTGAGCTACAAAGCTCCTTAGCAGCTCTGCAGAGGGCATCTTGCCATTCTTTGTTTGTGAGGCTCGGCCGTCTCAGGCAGGCGCGAATGCCTTCCCCTGAGTGCCTCTTTTGGATGACTTCTTGTTCTATTTAATGAAAATTGTAATGAGATCTTCGTAACTTTGAAGCTCCGTATCTTAAAGTTGCTTTTAATTTAAACTGTGCGCGTGCGAGAGCACTTGGAGATGGACGGGCTGATAGTGTGACAGTTATGGTTTATGGGAAATTAAAAACTGCTCGTGATGAGTTGCGCTCTACTTTTTTCTTGGACAGTTCCAGTTTTGTGACACAAACTCAGTTAAAGTCCGTCTCAAGTTCTCACTTCTGCTCCAGTTGAATGAGACAACTGCCGTGCTCCATACGGCATGTTATGGCTCAAACGCGAACTTGTATAGCTCGACAAAAAAATGGTGAAAAAATACCATGACCGGATTATTTACAGAAGTTTTGCGATAAAAGCTACAACTTTTAGCATGCGAAAGCCAATTTTACTGATTCTATTTCCATTCAAATTGCTTCATAATAAAATGTCGTTTCCAGTTGATGCGAATAAGTTTTTGATTGGTTTTACCCAACTACGTGCATGGTTCATGTATTCTTAAATATTATGGTATTACTTTAAATTATGTCTGAAATAAGTCGCGGAGACTTTTATTAGTTTTAGATCAAACCGCATTCAAAAAATCTTTGGTTACATTTTCGTTAAGCATTTTCGGGTTTCGTCTCTTAAAGCCCTCTTATAAATCTCTCTCGATCTCTTGTGACGCGACAAACACATTCGTCTTAGCCAAACGGTCTAAAAGTATGCAAATTCAGTCGTCGTGGACGATATTCCTTGCCATCCGATGATATTTCCATCTCTGTATGCTGTAAAAAGACTGTATGCGTTCACGGCGTATAAGTATTTGTGTTGTCGCGCACTTAGGCAGCCTTATTGATGGCGTGCCATGAAAGATGCTCGGCCTTTTACCGATATCGAGAAAGGTTTGCAAGCTCTCTTATTCAATAGGGATCCCCTCCCTCCCTTGACTTGTTTACTAGAAAACTAGACTCAATATCGATAATAACGGCGGTGTTTGAGGTATGAAAGTGCGTATAACGAGAAAGCCTCCAATGCTGAAAATCCTAGTCATTTTTCTGTGACAATAGAGAAGAGATCTGGGAATGAGGGCTCCTTCTTTTCGTGTCATAGCAGGACTCGAGCGCTCCCCTGAGTTCTCTGCTATTGGATTCTGGTGGTAAAGCCGTCGTGATTAATAGGCCCTTCTTTAGATGGCATCTTGGCAGGATTTCGACTCTTTGAATTATAATGGTCGTTTGCGATTTCGTATTCTAGTTAAATGAGCGAGTACTCATGAAATCGACAACAAAATTTGTTTAGTTTACCATCACTTTTCGTCACGTACATTACAGCTGAATTTTGTACGAAACACATGTCATAAAGTTGAACTTTGTTCGAAGATTTGAATAAGATTTCGTTCTTTGTTCCACGATTTGACTTTGTTCGAAGACTTGACTTCAAATTCGAAGATTTGACTCGGTACAGAGTACGTACGGACCGTACGTAATTTAGACTTAATCAATGATGCTAAAGATGCTAAATCTAAAATCAATGATGCTAAACTAATCAATGATACACACTAATCATTCTAAAGTTTTCAACGATTATTTTTAGGCGATTGGAAGCTGAATCTGAAAACAATATGATAGTGTTCTCGGTTGCAGTACAAATCATGCATCGGTGGGCCCTTAATATCGTACGATGAAATTATCGCTAGACCACCTTGATATAAAAGACAACGTATAATTGTCTGAGATTAGATGAGTTACGACATAATGTTGTGACGTCATTCATCGTCGTTGTTTTGCTCTCAGACATAGCCAACTTAAATAAATGGTTGATGCGTTCCCAGATAATGGCGAGTCTCTCAGGGCAAATTTCTAATAATTCAGTCTGTGAAAATCAATTTATCAAATCACGGTTGTAATAAATTTTGATTTACTATGTTCTTTTCGTAGTGTGAACAGATCGTAATCCAATGATCCGTGCGATGAAGCAGTCTTCTATTTTTACCGTTTGCTAGATTGTATTTTACCAATAATTTTACCTTTTTACCAATTATTTTGCGTTTTTACCATAAATGTAATGGAGGGGAGCGTCCTTTCCTGCATTCAAATTTCTTGTATAACCCTATCCGTTTTTAACCGAATTTCATTTTTGTATTCACAGATGCAAGACAGCGGGTAACGTGAGCGGCAGCCGCAACCCGTTACATGGACGGGCAGGCCGGCTCGATCAACCCGCGAACCCCTGGAGTAACCCCTCGAGCCGGAGGGGTTCCGGCTTACCGGGATATGAATCCCAACGGCGGGGTACAGCAGCCCGGGGCTCGGTATATGAAACGCTCCCCATCGAGTGGTTTAGGTGACAATGGAGGCCTGGATAGTGACTCTGAAGACGAGTACGCGGTGAGTGACGAGCGACTACAGCAACAACATCCTGTCAACGCTGCCAAGAGGACGCGCAAAAGTAAAGGTAAGCCTATAACCTTTACTTGATATTTCTTGATATTTTCTTGCGTGCTAGGATTTTTTTGTGTGTTCTAATTGCGAATATTTTGAATTCTAAATTCTGGCATTATTTTATTTGTGTGTAATGTATATAGTATATGAGATGTCTATAGAATCACTTTTACGGCTCTTTCAAGGCCATGCGACAGAATTCGTTAATAATCTGTTTTTGGGTAAGTCATAAGGATAAAGTTTGAAAACTGTTTTTTTTTTCTATCTTCGGGAGCTAAAAATGATCAAAACATTCGTTTAAGTTCCTGGTCTCATGTAATTTATATCAAATTAAGTCAATTTTAACACATTTCCTTTTAATTTAAACAAAAAATTCAATTTTTATCGTGTCCGCAAATGGGAAATTTATGAAAGTTGTATTTCGTTCGAAAAGTATAAAGTAATGTCTTCAGATAATTACAGTCCTACAGTTTACAGTTCTCAATGATTTAATATCGTTTTCAAAGATTGATTTTTAGTCATTCGAACCGTCTTTCATCAGTCCTCGTGCAGCTTTTTTCATTAATCCCTGCATTATTAAAATAATTCACACTGGTATTAGCAACGCACGCGATTTAATTCAGCTCTCTTCCGAGTTTTCCATTCGAGACGTCATTGAAATGCTAATTATTCCTTTGGTTTGAGCTCGTCTTTTCAATTCGCCGCATTAAAATTCCCACCTTTAATTATTTCCCTGCAAGGCCCTGGATTCTCTGGTTTCCTTCTATAGTCCTGCGAGAGCCAGACGTGACTGCGCTCGATCGCAATCCTGACACTTCGTCCTTGTTTAAAATTTTTATCTGTTTCAGAGTCAAGACAATTTAAAGTTCCTTTTAGTTTCAATATATTTTCATTCGTGTAGCGGAGTGTTAATGTTGAAACTTATTTGAAGTGCAAGTGAAGAGATCAACTGATGAGAACAAACTTCAATTCTTCTTTCCATAATTTTGTTACTTCCTCAAAAAGTGAGAATTGATACTGATGAAAGTATCAAATTCTGATGTAAAGTTTTGATGTGGAGGCAGCGACCTTCAGGCCCAGTGTAGTTCATTAATGGATTTTAGCGACATCGATCACTCTTTGTCTCTGCTGCCATGGCTTACCATTCTTTCTCATTAGAAAAACATTCTAGGTCTGATGGAAACTATAACAGCAGCGAGCCTCGCATTTGTTCCCGAAATTCGTTGTTGATGTAGATGAAATGATCATATTAGACTTGCTCAATCTTTTTCAGCTTTTTGCTGAGCTACCACTTTCATATCTAACATCTAACGAAATTTAGTTACCAGCTTCTAATCAAAGCAAATTTCATTATCACTATACACACAACTTAGAAACTTGTACTGCAGTTCATGTTACATTCACGTGTTCACCGATACCGTTTTATGATCCAGCTTTATGTTATTGATGGTGGTTTTCGTTCTTCCCATCACATTATTTCGTATCGAATTTGAATGAAAAATAGCTTTGACTTTTCGTCTCAATCGTTATCCAACTTTGATAAAAGGTTTTTGTCAATATCTCTGTACAATTTCTACGTCGCCTTGCCTTTTCTGAGGCCCTTTAGGTCATTAAAGTTTAGATCGGCGGTATCTCGATCGATGGTCGAGTTCCACAACGTCTTTCTGCGGTGCGTGGCTGTCCTTCTCCATACTTCAGCTGTCTCGCAGCTCATTGCAAGTGGCCCTCACTATTTGTCCGAGTTCAGGCGTCTTTCTTAGGATGTCGGAGTTGACACGATCTTTCCACCACTGGAAATCATTTAGCGATGGCAAGTTTGCACGGCCAAAGTTTTCCTTGGATGAGCAGCGAACTCCGCGGCCAACTTACTTCGCAGGAGGCATTGTCAGGCTGCTGATCACCGACGTGCGGCACTTCCACAATTAGTGCGACGGATGTGAAGGGAATCTTTGCTGGATTACGTTTTTTACCCATGTTTTTCGCGTGCTGAAGGAAGTTATTGTTCTGAATAAAAATCTGGTAATGAAGCACGAAAACGAAGCTGAATTTATCGAAAATTCAGATGCAAAAAAGTCTGGAAATCGAGTATAAAGTCAGGTTAGAACGGAACGAAAATTCTCAAAAAAATCTCATCAAATGTGTTTGCCTTCCCCTAACGCTTGCATTTCATTTATTTAAACTGACATTTATAAAGCCAATAATAATATTCGATATCTTCTATTCTCCAATTAGAAAGCATATATTCCTTCCTCTGGGCTTCTCATTAATTTTTTATTGAACTATCTTGTGCAAGTGGCTCTTTGCATCTTTCTACAGCCCCGGTTTTTGCCCTCGTTTGTTCTCAATATCTATAAGCAATGTACCTGCTGTTACAGTTATCGATGCTTGCAGATGCAATTAAGACGGTCGGTGTAAGAGATGCCATACTTCTAAACTTTAATTTTTGATCTTGCATGACGTCAATCAAAAGAGATCTCTTTTACTTCCCGCATCGCAAACCATGAATTTATCCGACCATCGATCAGCCCGTGTTGAACCCCATGCATGAGTGGTCTCGAGATCAATATTATACATTGTTTTTGAGGAGTTATACTCGTGCTATTCTTCGCATCGAAAACCTTTTCGTGCTATCTGCAAGTACGCAGTTTGGTCTCCTCCTCATTACAATATTTTACTCCTATAATAATGTAAGTGAATTCACTCCACAGGAGTACCAAACCATATATTCAGGCCATAATTACTACGTTCGGGTGAAGGGACATGAATTAGTGACATTAAATATTGTAAAAATATTATTGAATATAAGGAGGAATTCATCGGAAGAATTCCACTGCGGCCATTACTGACCGCCTATAAAACTTGTGCCAGTGAAATTTGTGTATGATTCACAGAGTACAAATAAGTAAATACACTGTATATCTCACAATTACTTTTTAGAATTTTTAATGAATGACATCTAACTTGAGTTACTTAAAGAATAAGTATGTATGCTTTTAAGCACGTACTCCTTTCGAGTTCATCCAAGCTTAAAAATGTAACAAGACGGTATGTAACAAATATTTGAGATTTTCTTAAAAAAAAATCTAAATTCTTCTTTCATATTTGGCAATTACAGCTCTGTCATGGGCGGATTTTGGCCAGCACCTGAAGGTGCGTCGTACATCATGTGGCGGTGCAACGTGCCGTGCAAATGGCGCCAAGTTTAGGTGTAAGTTAGAGGTGCAATAACAGGACGACACTGGTGACACACAGGCCTCTACATTATAGTGGCTGTGACACATACACAGCACCAAGGCGCGTGTCGTGATGTAGCTCAGCAGACCTTTGCTGCTAAATGTCTCATTAAATTTTGCCCATGCGTATGATGAATACGTTGGAAAAATTACAACGTAGTTCTGTCATGTGTTATTAGGACCTCGAGTTTCTTATTATGCAATATAGGCAAATGACAATTTTTTGCCTTGTGTGGTTTGGTTTCCAATTTTTTAGGTATGTCAGTCAGTATGGTTCGAAATGGTTAGTAGAGATAGCTTGGAGACACGTGAAATTAATTTTTCGGGTTACAAGGCAATTTTATGAATTCTAAAGGCAACCTCACAATTTATTGGTTGAACAAGATAGATTCCTGGGGTTTGAATATAAATTACACGAGTTTAATTTTTATTGATGATATTTTACCGTCAATCAGTTTCTTGTATATTTTTTGCAATTAAGCTTTGAGAAACCAGGAGGGTCAAACTAAATGTGTAAAAACTATTGATTGTTCATAGTTCCACTTTACCCCAGATGTCCAGATGTAAATCTTGCTTTACAAATTCGTGCGCTCGCTCAAACAATGCGTTTGAACTCGTCTTAATGCAGCGATTGTCTTGCAAACTCTCCGCCTCACGCATCCTTATCAAGAACTTGTAAAAAGTTCAAGAGGAAATTCCCCAAGTATTCAATACTCGCATTGCTATTCGTCAACTTCCCTCGTAAAGCCATAAAATTCCTCAACAACTGCCATAACTGCTATGCAAAACTGGGCATGGATGCGTCTGTAAATCCACGGAGCTCTTGTCTACCAGAAGAGGTGTCTGCCAAAGTGTCCGTTTGGCGCTCCGGAGAACGTTACTGAAAAGCATGCACGGCATTGCGATGTGGCGCGCGAGTGCGAGAGCCATGGCTTTGCTGCTCGCCGTGTATGGAAGCTGTCGACCCGAGCATCAGATTACCCTTAGAGATGTGCTCAGATTTGCGCGCTCGGTATTCTGAGGAACGCCTTTCGGATGCCAGCGATTTGAGGCCAGAACCGCTAGATAGAAATGAAGCAGAGTTCCAAGAACAAAGCACAGCACCGAAAGGGCGTTCCTTGTCATGCATGTGTAATGTTTCCGCGACGCTGAAATTCGTTTTATTCCAAACATTTCGGCACCAGACCTTAGCTTTGGCTCTTTGTTTGATCTAGTGCTTGCGGAGATTCTGCGCTTGCCAAATGAAGTGCAAAACGCTACTGAACTACTACTATCTGAGCGCCCTCTTTGATATTGAGAGAATAGACAGATGATCCACATACCTTCCAACTGCTGTTACTATTCAGTTTATTGCCTGTTGTTGGACAGGAACGATTCTGTTCTTCTCAACCTTACTTTTCGGTCCAGAATTCAGGCTTGCAAATCTACTGAAGCTCAGCTGCATGCGAGACATGTTTTCCTTTATTGCTTCACTGACGATAAACTGCCCATAAATATGAGACTGACGGATAGGGCAGAGTGACTGCCTGGCTCGTGTGAAGTCTTGAACAGTGAATAGTGAGAAGTGAGAGACTACATGCATTATATTGATCCACTCTCTTGTGACAGAACATATATATAGTGTCATTGTGACCTTGCTGTCCACTACGGATCCATCGAAGAACATTCGGATCCGTCATTTGCTTAGTGTATATAATACGGGGTGCACTATTTTAAGGCATACCAATACCAAATGGCTTACACTTCGGTTTTTCTTAGTGAGGAATGAAGTTACGTTCCTCATGATGGACCTACCTACAGTGAGAAACTAATTTAGACGAATAGAGGGATTTTTTTTATTTCTTTCGATTTGTAACATGAATTTTTATTTCATTTAGTAGATTCATTTTAATTCTGTGTAGTTAATTTAAAAGTAATTTTTTCTTCTATTGTTGAGCATAATATTTTGTGGTCCTAAAATTCCTTAGATGTTCTTTTAGCATTTTTTCTCGAAATTTCATTCCAATTGTGATATACCATCGATATTTATATACCGTCTCGATACTTATCGATATTTATACACCGTCTCGGTATACACTGTGATAGAAGCTTATTGAAATGCAGTAGTTTCCGCTTCAAGTCAGATGTGCTTACGTCAGATTTGCCAGCTTATAATTCCGTAGTCGCAGTCGGCGATGTAAGATCTGTAGGTTGTTTGACGAGATTCTAATACTTTCTCCGATACTGCTAAACAGATGGGTTCTACTTTCTGTATTGCTAATGCACTCTCATAATATTTCCTAAAATTATCTTAACATTATCACGATTATGCACTCTGAATTATTTCGTGTGAATATGCAAGTCGGCATCGCAAACAATGAGTTGAAACTGCAGTGCACGAATTCCTGTCAGTAGCTGGTAAAGACGGCCTTGTCCAATCACCATGAAAGTTAATCTATTATTATTTTAAACATTTTTAGCTTCTAAGTTTAGATTGAACCTTTTTCTTCTTATGCACTAATTTTCTCGTAGGTCTGCGATATTGCCATTTGGAGGTTGCTTCTAGGACGCGGCACTCGTCAAATATGCCAATTCCCTGGATTTTCTATTAGATTGAATTCCAAGATGACGTGAGGGGTCGAGATTGCCGCCAGCAATCGGTGTCCTGTGGAGGAAAGGCAGTTTGAGCTTTCATGAAGGCTTCTTCCCTTCTCTTCAACCCCGTAGTTTGGAACGTTTTCCCTCGCTCTCCCTCTTAATTGTTTCCTGTTGTTGGCCGTTGTCACAATTTCTTACTCTTTCCCTAAGGCGAGCTTTTTCGTTCATTGTTTGAGGTGTCCCCTACAATAGCCCTTTTATACGTTCAAGGCCTCATTTTTTTCAGACACAGCAAAACTACTGTCGAATTTTAATAGATCTTCTAAATTTTTGTACTGGTGTACGATATTTTAACGTCTTTCAATATACTTTTGTTAAGCAAGTGTATCGAGTTCCTCGAACGCATATAAGGGTACTTTTAGGCCGTTTAGGTCAGGTGTGCTAAGTTCAATTTGTAGCATATAAAAGTTTATTTACTTACATACATTATGATACTAGTTTTTGCGCGAATCTAGCATTCTTGGACAAAAATTGTTTTAAATCACTTATTACGTTGGATTTCTTCTTTTTACATCGCAAGGAACTTAAATGAGACGAAATGCAGTAAAACTTGATGATTGTATAACCGAGTTATAACAAACTCTTACTTTGAAGATAAATGTATGCGTTATCTATATGTTTATAAGTTTAAACTTGAAGTTGTTGCTATAATATATGTTGATGTAATATATCCATTGAACAATCATTACACCGGAGACCGGATCAAAAGTCAAACCTTATAAGTGCTGCAAACTAAGGTGCGTGAGTCGCGCTCGAGTCGACCGTATAGAGCGCTCCTGCGGTGCCAAAGAATGGACCTGGAAATGGATCTAAATAGGCCGCCTAGAGGGCACCCAATATCCCTGCTATAGCGGCCAGATAGGGGGCCGCTATCCATGTTTATTATTATGGCCTAAAGTAGCGAGATCAAAGGCGTTGGGTATTGGGCGCGTAAATTGACACTTGCGAAAGGGAGGTCATTCTTATTGGACAAAAACGAGCATTTCTGACAGCGCCGCCCTTATCGCTCTCTGTACGCTGGCGACGACCGTTGCGCTCATATCGTTCTGTACCTTCAACAACAGTAACTTGTTCGGTTAAATGGCAGCTGTGTTCATGATTATATTCAAGCAAATCGATCATCATGCTTCTATACTACCATTGTTTCAGTATTATTTCAATCATAATTTCTGCCTATTCGTTAGAAATGTATTAATTCGATTATTAATTATTGTCTTGGTCGACCAGAGCTCTTGAAGAATTTACTTTGTTAGCTCAACATTTCCTTTTTTTTTCACCCTCTTCGGACTGCATTGATGCTACCGTACCTACTCGTACGATTATAACGTTGTAAAATTATGCAGTTTGAAAAAGGTTAAGTTCCTTTGCAATTGTTGAGATTGAGTTGGTAAGATGAAATTTGGTAGGAACTCCCAATAATTTTATTTCTCTTTCTTACCCAGACCACGGCTCCTCCATGCGAGGTGGTGTCACTCCAGTCACCTCTCCGGGTGACGTGGACTCAGAGTACAGATGTGGAGGTCCTCAGTACGCCAATCCCAACCTCCTACCGCCAGAATATTTCTCCAATTCCTACTCCAGCTCTAACAATGATCAGTTCGATTCGAGGAGACCAAACCCACGACGCATCCCGACCTCGGTGTCGTCTTCAGACAACAACTCGGACACGACCTACGCAGAGAGCGGCGACATCAACTCCAGCCTCAGGGCTCGAATGCAGGCGCTGGATAACCGTAAGTTCAGTTGTCATCTTTGGATGGACATTGTACCAAGATTTAGTTACTTAAGTTCGCTTTTTGATTAACCAGTTTTCTGATCATCAATGCTGAAATGCTTCTTAATTAATCTAAATGAGAAAATCTGTCAAATATGGTTAGACGTTTATACTTCTTACTTGCAATTTTGGTCAGTTTAAATAGAAAATTTTACGACAAATTACAAGACAATGCCTGAAACATTCGACTAACCAGCCTAAATTATTGAATCGTTTGTGTCACCCTGTCACAATGCCTACTAGAAAACTCGCTTCTAAACGACATTTTAGGCCATCAAAAACTTTATCTAAATTGTTTATTTACTTTATTACAATATAGTTCTTTTCTTGTGATTCGTTTTTGAAATGCCAAAGAGAAAGTGAAGAAACGACGACCTCTCTTTTAGCGACAGTGTATCATCTGAAGGCTGCGACATGCACTGCATATTGCGCTTGCGTTCTATCCCCCTCTAATGGTTGCCGACACTGTTACCCCCAGCAATATTCGCCCTATATAATAGCCTAACGAGACTCTAAGATTCTTGTCGCCCCATCTCAGGCTGCGAGTGGTACGCTCTCCCAAACGAAGCTACTGCGCCTATACCCGAGATCCTACGCCACAGTTTCTTTCTTTGTCTTCTCACTTTTCTTATTAGCTCGATTCCTGCTCCTCTTCTGCTTTGAAATTAGAACGATTTAAAAGTTTCAATGCCTATCTTGTTGTCGTGTATCATTTTGCAGACATGGTTTTCCGAAATGCGATTTGTGTTAATAATGATTACACAATAATTGGACGTTGCCTGCAAGTGTATCTAATAGCTGAAGAATTGCAGTGAACAACGCTTCCAAGTTATATGTAGTGAAACAAGAGCATACTTCATACTTTAATATCTCGCGTACATATAAAATTTTGGATTTTATTTATTTTCTGATCCGGTTGGTCACCTCAATATTCTGAATCCATGAAATATTTAAAGTATTCGCAAAGATTCTGAGCAATCCAATCACCGACGTGGTCTCAACAACACAGTTGACATTAAAATTGTGCAGCGTGAGCAGAGATAGCACAATTTTTCACATTGCAGATCGAACTGCTCGGATTTATACATGGTTTTAGCGATGTTTGTCCTAGTGAGTTTTCCATGGAGTATGAAGTCTGACGCTGAACCAATATGTTGGATGGCACAAAAAATTTACTTTGCCGCGTAAGGCAATTTGTTGCTCCGTCACCTTTCATCCCGAACAATATTGGAACCCACTGGAATTTCCGATAACTGGTCCCGTAAAAAGGCTTCCTAGTAATTTGCTCTCTTGCCGAGCGTTGCATCACGACTATATCGTATTGAACGTTTCATGCTGGCCGATCGCTTTAACAAATCATTCTTTATATGCTGAATATACGCTTTCGATTTTGGGAGAAAAAAAATTACATCTATATTTCCGGTGTGGCGCTGAATCAGGGATCGCGGTGAGCAAACGAATTAATTCGACACGAGAAATTGCATTTTTGGTTCTGAGTTTATTTGAAGTGCTGTCCATTTTTCTAGCAATTTAATATTAGAGAAAATGTCAATAAAATTCCGCATACGTATTTTGGATTATAACGTTTTCATTCAGTTCGAATACTTTGAATTTTGTTTAGCTGCGAGTTGCAAAAATTTAAGATGATTACACCTCAAGTTCTTCATGGCTTTTCCACAGAGCTGGTTGGCAGCGCCGAAATGCTGCCATCTGACGTGCTGCAGCGAATATCCCCACACCACCTCCTCATGGAGATGCGCCCCGGGGGAGGCTCGGGTGGGGAAGGGCCTGAATGCCCTCCCCCTAATCCTCCCTACCCTCCACCAACACCCGAGGATGGATACCAGCAACCACAGAACACGGTGTTTCTATCGCATGGTGAGTCGTGCTTCTATTTGGATTAAATTTCTACTATTTCCCTTTGTTATGATCAAATAGTTCTCTCAATAACGTTATTATGGGATTTTCCGATGAACAGCTTATGTGACGCCCATTTCTACGCTATCAGCTCTGAAACGATAGGAGAATTTAGAGATTCAATCAAACGCAGCGCACTAATTTTAATCGGGCTTGATACATTGGAACTGACATAGAATTGTTCTCAATATCACCAGCACAATTTGAAGCTCGCATCAGCGCTGCACTCCAATATTTGAAGTATAATGTTTACTCTGATCCAATATTTCTTAAATTCGATTTACTCTCAAGCGTAAAATAAAGAAGATTCACTCTCATGCGGACTAAACCTAAATACTTAATGTTAATGCCCACAATTCAAGGAATGCTATGATTTGGCACGCTTGCTGCTCCCGTTGTTCTTGCTAGCTATCTTCGCTCGCTTGCGTTTTTTAATGGCTAATAATTTAGTATCAGACACTTCAATTATTCAGTTGACATTATTTTGTTAATGTCGAACAGATTATGTTCTAATTTAAGTGAGATCGTTGTTATTTTAAGCTTAACATTTTTTCATATGCTTCCGGGTAATTTATTATAGGGAATGTATGTTATTATTTCAGGGATGCTAGCAGAGCCAGAACTAATGACTGGGAATGAGTTTCACTTTTATGATTATCGACATGGTTTTATTGCATTTTAACCAGCTTAAAATGATTGGTGCATCTTAATTTATCTTTGAATGGGTTATGAATGGCGACTGAATTACTGAAAAGCTCTTCTTAACGCTTGAATTGTAAATTTCTCTGTTTAGGATTCTTCATATGTTGTTCATTATTTATGAGTTATCGTCAACATCCTAATAGTTCATCTTCTTTCATGCGTGCTGCGTTGATGAGTATTTTTTTTCTTTCGGAATTGCTGATATACTCAAATCCTGGTAGGCAAGTCCCGAGACTTTCTCTGGTGTAGGATTGCGATTTACTCGAAGTAAATACCGTAGACTTTCCCATAGTTTTGACAGATTTTTGTCGATCGTGAATATGCCATTCACATTTGTGTCTGAACGGTAAATTTGTATGCAATGTATTGACTTTAGTGAACTTCGCTTGTTTTCTTCTGAGATGAATTTGTTTCTGTTATTAATTCCTCTCATTTTGTTAAGAGCTGCGTCGTAATACTCGAACTTTTGTGTTCGCGTTTACAGCCCTTTTGGATATTGAATGTAGAACACTCGAGTTGCAGGGAAACGTCACCAATGAAGAGAAACTCTCACCAATGTCTTTTTCTTGACTATTTCTCTCGACCGTCATTCACGACCTTCATTCCCGACCGTCTTTCACGACCTTCACTCACGATCGACCGTCTATCACGACCGTTATCACAACCGCCATTCACTACCGTCATGCAAAACCTTCACGCAAAACCGCTTTTCACAACCGGGAACTGTGGGCTCTAATTTCTGTAGAGGCTGGATTGCAGTTAGCGATTCTAAGACCCTCAGCCGCAGCCGCCTCAATGACGCACGATAATTAAGTTTCTCCGCGTATCGCGAGCGAAGTAAATGCGGTGCAGCGATCTGCGCAAGTCATGAATGCCGGGGTTTAAAGTTTTCAGTTGATTTCTTTATACACGAGAACTTCACTCCTGAACTCCTGCTGGAAATATTCCTGGCAGAAAACTTTTAACCCAAATGACGTTATGTTTATTAAAGTTAGAACATTTTATCATGATTTTCGGTAACATTTTAACATGATTTTTAGCATTATTTTCGGTAGCATTTAAACAATTTTCTACCTGAAAGTCATGATGATTTTTTCGGTCATTTGTGTTTGATAATTCTGAAAGAAACTCGTACGACTTTGTCGCACTAATGCCGTTTTCTACATTGCGTATGCATGCAATTCTCCCAGCAGCGCTGTAGATGATCATACGCTGTAAGCAATCACATCTCTTTGAGCTGCTAAGTTCATGTGACCGAATCTGGTGAAACGCAGAGCCTCGAAGGGGCGACACGCGATTTCCATAAGTGCTTCTTCTGCAGCCTTTTAGTTTAGAAATTCTTGCATTGAGTTCTTTATTTATTGATCCCCAGAGTACCTGATGGCAGGCAATGGGGTTCGGTATCCCGGCGCTAGAGGCGGGGCGAACAAGTCCCCTGGGGGACAAGCCCTCTACTGCACCCCATCACCTACCCGGGATTATTACTCCCATAACAATGCTCAGCAACCTCCTCAGTGAGTATCTTGTTCTCTATTACTAATATAAATTAATCTATTCTTGATTTCTTTAAGAATTAAATTATATAAGAAAAATTTGATGTCTAGCTTGTTGCGCGAAAAATTCTGAGGTATTGATATTTGTTCAAACATTTTATTACGTGCATTTTACTATCAATGGCAAGTAAAGAATGTGAAAGCTTTGAATTTAACAACTTTTTAAATGTTCGGTAAACTGCAGTTGAATTTATCCACTCCATCTCTGAAAATCTTTTAGATAAATCGCGCCGAAACATCGCTTCAATATTTCTTTGGCACAAGCGACCACCGCTGGCCTTGTCGAAGGCAATCGAACGGCTTAAAACTTTACCGATTTCCGGCGACAATTTTTTTCTATCATTTGCACTATCAGCTCACCAATCGCGATCGTCGCTGGTGCGTTGTTTGTAGCGTCGACAAGTTCTCGAGCTCATCCCTCGTTTGGTGCTAGTGACCAGCAAGTTTGAAATTGGACAACGCTGACCGGGAGCCAGATGGCGATGGAGTCCATCAGCGCCACCTGCTGGCCCTTGATTAGCTCCATTTGGGAATTCGCACGAACCCAGATGCTCGTTCCAAGCCTGGTCGCTGTTGACGGCAGCTCGACCCTTTCGCTGTCGCCCGATCGCACGCGAGGCTCATTTTTGAGCACGGAATTCTTCCGGACTCGAAAAATAATTTTTGTCGAGGTGTCCGCTGACCACATAGGTGGAGAATGTCATCGGGAATTTGATGATTTTGTTGCGTTTGAATAAATCGCTATTTTGACATTGATGGCGAGAGATACTTTTTCGCCCCTCATCATGCGCTCATTTACATAAATTGTCCATATATTTCAAAGAGTATTATAGTTTGTTTCATTTTTAAACAATTCTAGGTATTATTTGACATTTTTTTCAAATCTGACCATGTTTTATGTTCCACCATATATCCTCTTGGATTAAATTTTTCGTTTATTGCTATTTATTTTGTTATTTGATCGAACATTTAAGTTTTCATTTCCTTATTATTGTTATTGCACCTGTGTCGCTCTGTAGTACAGAAAATCGGTATGCTTAGTTGAACTTGAAGCTACTAAATTATTATGCAGAAGCCTTAACATTTTTTATCAACAAAATATGTTCCAATGAACTACCGTACTGGTCACGAACAAGTTTTTGTCCACTGTTTTTATTTTTTTTTCGACATTATCGTGAAAACACTTGTCTGAATCACATCCTCGTATTATCTTGATTGTACCGAATCCATTTTTTTTGGCATGCTTCACTTTTTTGTTATGATTTTAAGTTTTTTCTGTCATCCAGGGAGTTCTACTATTACCAGCAAGTGCATCCCCACCAGCCCCAGTGAGTACCGCTGTGTTATAACTTCTCCGTTCTTGTACTTCTTTCCGTTTGCTACTGTTACCTGCTCAAGTAACGCAATTATCACTGTTACCTGCTTCAGTAACACAATTATACCATGTTTTCTACTTCATTAACGCAATTATCACTATGTTACCTGCTTCAGTAACACAATTATACCATGTTTTCTACTTCATTAACACAATTATCACTATGTTACATGCTCCATTAAGACAATTATGCACCGGCTTTGGCGGGACGTATTCTACTTCTGTATTATACTCGCCCTGCCATGGTTTGTCATTTCCGGTTTGCGGCTCTAGCCCATTTGTGAATTTGGCTCACTTGCTTTACGGAATGTTGGGAACAATTGCTGGGACTCCGCAGAATTCATCTATCATTTTTCAATGCTTTTGTATTTTTCTGTGTGAACTAACCATTACTCATAAAAACACTTACTAGCCATACGTCGTATGAGGGTATTTTAGATTTGGGTTTTTTTTCCTTTCTGATGATGAATTTAATAAAAAAAATTTGTGTGCTTAATGAATAGATTGCAGCTCCCATTAAATTACTCAGAAATAAATGTTTTAAGTAATTTATATCAAATTGTTTTACTTTTACTCAAGTTTTCAAACCTTTTGTTGGCTTCATTCCAATGTTCGGTGTTGAGAGAGAACTAATTCCATTTTGATTTCTGAAGAAAAAGTACGGTTGATGTAATTTGTTCCAGTGACATCCATCACTTTTCTCGTGCAGTGATTTCGTTGGCAGTTAATCCCGACATGTTTCAGAATTATAACTTCGAAGGCCAAAACTTTAGACGTCGTGTGTGCGCCCATTGCTATATCGACCACACGCGCATTCCGACATTAGTTTGTGACAGAAATGGGCAGGTCTAAGGCATCAGGCATACAAATAGGCCATATAGGGCATTGTGCTATGTAAAGTTATACGTTGTGGTTCGCAGTATAATATTTATACATTTTATTCCCGCTAGCTCGTGAAAAAATTCCCGTTGTTATTGCACTGAAGTTACAGGGCATTGCGTCAGGTTTATTGCGTCAGGTTTATGCTTCATTTTAATTGTATTGTACGTGGTATCTTCAGTGTTGACTTACTCACGCAAGTTATCAGTTATTATCTGACGCTGCAATTGACTGTGGCTAAATGCTAGCCGTTACCTGCACTTTATGGTCATTGCAACAACTCGTTATGACCTTATTTCCTGCCGCCTGATGCTGCTGAAGACTTTAAGTAGTGCTTTATATCATGTACGAGTGTGACTGCTGAGATAATTTTTTTCTTGCTTAATTCTGAATCATTTCTTATTATACGTTTGCAATAGGTTAAACTCAGAAACTTCATTCGATTGTCTTTACTGCGTTAGAGGTTTCGTTGATACAATTAAAATTATCAATAAAATTTTTATACTGATCTCGTAATACGAGTATATGGAAGTCACTCCTTCGACCTGCACATACGCTGCTGTGAGGACTTGTTGTTGTGTTTATTCGTGGTGACCCGCAGCGGCGCCCTGAGCTTCGTGTGATGTTTGCGGCAAGTCTGCGAAGCGTGAAGTTCCCTCAGACTTGCCCTCGCTCCCTCACTCGAGCCGACGTTCCACTATTGAATAAGTTTAACTCTTTTGAAGCGTGGTGGCTCTGCCTCCCACTTGCCGCCTTTGATGTAAACCGCACCTCTTGAATGACCTTTGTACGTGCGGGATCACATTCAAAGAAAGTCTTGCAGGAATGTTCAGGAATGTTGTAGAAAGGTTCTTGTAGTTGGGGCATCAACATATGTAGACAGACAGACAGAAGTACGCTTTATAGCATTAATGCACGAGGAGACAAGTTTGTAAAAGTTGAAACTAATTTGTTACCTAAAGACGAGGGGCTTGGCTTAGACATCCTGATGTGGATTTTTTCTATTATATTTTTTTAACTGAGCGATTAATGCAAGAATACAATGTAGAATGTATGATTTGCCGCTTAATCGAGATGTCTCGTAAATTTGGCTATTTGCAGTACATATGTTCATTTTTAACGTCTATGCTCATCAGAATCTCGAAGATTTTAGCATTTTCGGTTTGAGCGTTTTTCTTAATAATTTCAGTAATAATCATAATCCCCTGAACCTGTGCGGATTCTAGCCGGTTTTACTTATTCATAATTTACACATTTTGAAAATGTTTCAACACTTATAAAATTTCGTTGATATATTGCCAAATTTAATTGATTTTTTTATTTAATATTCATCTTTCCTCATAGCTTGGAAAGAAATCGTTCCTGTGAACGAGCAGCTAGGAGCAGGCACGCGCTTCGGTGAAAATTGCAGCGGCTGATGCGCTCGTCGGAATGTCTTTTGTTCTGGCACTGAGCGCTGCCTAGCGCATCCTAGTGAGCCATTACCACCACCGTTACAGTTATTTGCATGAGCCACAACGGCTCTCTTGCACCGCGCTCTTTTGCCACATTGCCTGTCTCATCGCTGCGCACTTGACGAGCTGCCGTACAAAATGTTTAAAGATTCTCTCACAAAGCCTATAGACGCGTCAACATAGTGTAATTTTAGGCCGAGTTACATGAGAACTACTGCCAGCTGAAGGTGACTACCCGCTGGTACTTGACATCGGACATTATCGTGAATATTTCTCAGTACTTTCTTTGTTTGACAAAAGCTTCTCTCAGTCGTTAATATAATATAATTAATACGTTAACGAAAATTCTTCATGCGGCGTAAATTTGTTCTAAAATTTCAGAGGGTCACTAAACAACCTATTTTCTGCTGACTAAGTTCGTTTTTCCGTATTCAACATATGGTGTCATCATTCACACCTGTAATTTTATGTGAGTAAATAGACGCTCCGAACAAGATTTTACATCTTTATAATTTTGATTTTGATGAATTTTGTGGTCCATTGTAGAGATAGGATCGAACAAATATAGTATTCGTAATCTTCCGTTTGTATATTTATACCCGCTTTTTATTCATTCTTAAATATAACTTCTATTAGTGGTGAAAATTTGAAAACTTATTGGAAACGATCCATTATTGGTCGTTTCCAAATAACAGCGCTCACTTTGGTTCATTTCCTCTAAGCCAGTTAATATATTAAGTCCATGTGCACTCCTGATAATGATGTAATGTTATTAATGCATCTTCGATAGTCCATTAATAGTCCGATAATGACCTGAATTGGCTATTCAATTATTCGGGCGTGTCTCTAGCGACTCGAATCTACTGGTACCGAAACCATGTCGTCAGCGTGGTAAATCAGATCGGTTATTGAAGCTTCGGATTTGCCATGGATTTTGGTGCTGGAGGAGAGAATTCTCGTGGCGACGTTTGTAGGTCGTGAACGCGTTGTCAGCAGCTCTCCCTGGTGGTCGTAGTGGCGCAATATCGCAAATGTACGCCGCATGGCCGCGAATTTATCTTGCATCCCTGAGGTAAAGACGGCAATCCGCTCGTGGCTAGAGATGCCAGGGATGGATGGCTGCTCGGGTATTGCGCGCCCTCTTGCCTTTTGCCTTGCGTTGTTGAACGTGTCGACGATGGGATTAGCCGCTGTATAATAAAGGAATAAACCGGTGTGAAATTCTAAATTATTTGCGTAGTTAACTTATTTTTAGTGCTTGTGTTACAGATTGTTGTTCAGATGTTGCAGCTTTCTCTTCCTCATCACTCGGCATCGTTGAAGGTGGTAAAAAAACATCGACAATTCATAGATAACATATAAATTAATAGAAGACATAAACTAATATAAATAAAAGACTCTTTAATGATTGTGATTTGAATTGCCAGTGAGGTATTACAAGTTGGTACCTTTTGGCAGTGTATTTATTACCGAACTAACGATGAATATTCGTTTGATTAAATTGTTTGGGACACAAAAACGTTCCAAAAAATCTTGTTATTTCAAATGACTTGAACTGATTAAATGATTGAAGTTTTTCAAGACAGAAGCATCCTATTGCTGTCGCACTATTTGAATTTAATCTTTCAACGTTGGTCGATCACAGGTACAAATTTTAACAATTTAGTATTATTGAATGATTGGCAATGAATCGAGAAATTACCTGCATTCAAACATGTATTTCTTGAACATGAAGCCTTTGTCCGACGTATGTTACGCACGTGTAATACAAGTGTATTAAATCAACAACATGCAATATTTTTTCGGATGGGTACGAGTATCTCGCTAGCATTGCGAGCTCACTCGGCCATTTATCTGGTTTACGTTAACGAGTTCGCTCACTAACGCTTTTAGACTAAATAAATTGCATTTATCAGTCTCACTCGGACTGAAAACATTTGTGCTTCTTTTGTTTCCAGTGTGCATGCAGCACTGATTCTGGGTAGCTATTTTGTTTTGGAAAAACAATTTATATGTATTTTACTGGTGATGGTTTCAATTTGTGGACGTGATACCGTTTTATTACGATTAGAAATTGAAACTACCATTCTTATACTGTTGAACATTTGCTTGTGGTGTTATTAATGTGTGGTTGTTGCTCTGCGTATGTATTTCTAAGCCAGAAACTGAAACATCCATAATGAAATAGTTCCTACGTACGTTTCCCTGCTTACGTCGGGATGAGCGACACTTTTATTGGTCTTGTCATTAATCGGTTTTGCATTTGCCTTAGGGTTTATAAAAATCTTCGCCTCATTTGACGGCTCATTGTGTCGTCGTAATTTTTTTTGGTCAATGATCGCTTGATGTGACTAAAGTCATCTGTAGATCAAAAATGAGTATGCAAGAAACCGTTTATCGTTGACCAAACTCTAAAATTTATGCCATTGTCTGCGGCCGCCAGTAAAGATTCTCTTGTATTACGAATTTTAAGCAAAATATTACCCATCACTTCAATGAATAATTGTAGTTCTTTCTTAATCCTAGATTGAATATTGATTTTACGTCGAAAGACGACAGTCGATTTAACACTGCAAGTGACCCGTGCCTTTGAAGAATATCTAAAAATAGCGCCCGTATCAATTGTAATTTTCAATTTTTACAGCAAAATTATTCATTTTTGAATGTGAAAGCATTGCGAACGCAGCAATTTCACGTTCATCATTCAATTAGTAAAAATAAAAACAGTAACATGCTCCTGAAAAGCACATCCTTTATAACTTCCTATTAACCTACGCCAGACTGCAATATTTTTCATCACTGTAATCGTATCGAGTGCAGCTACAGTTCTGCCTATGCAGTCCAGCAAGTATTGAACATTCCACTCTCATCCTCTGTAGACTCCTGGGCACGCTGGGCACTCTGTCATCCACCAAGACTGCACTCGGTCAGCAAGGAAGCTGCAACGGAGGAGGTGGTGGTGGCTTCGCCTCCCTCGTGGCGCTGCCTGTAGTGCGCAACAACCTGGGATCTCGCGCTGCCTCCATCACAGGTCGAGGGCTGTCGCTGGGAGGGGGCAAGTCCTGGACGAAGACCTGTAACTGGAGATGTGCGGCCATCGTTCTCGCCGTCGTGTGTTGTGCTCTCGCTGCTCTGCTAGCTTACTTTGCCAGTAAGTGAGCTTAATTTGCCAGTAAGTGAGCTTAATTTGCCAGTAAGTGAGCTTACTTTGCCAGTAAGTGAGCTTAATTTGCCAGTAAGTGAGCTTACTTTGCCAGTAAGTGAGCTTACTTTGCCAGTAAGTGAGCTTACTTTGCCAGTAAGTTGGATCACTTTGTAATCCCTGCTACTGTGCTTATTTGTCCTACGGTAGTAGGTCTATAGTTGTTCATTCTTCTTGCAAATCAAACGGTTGCATTGCACTGTACCTGGAAGTCGTGTACCGTGAGGTCTGGAGTCGACAGCTCGCCGCATTATTTTGTTAATTGTTGCAGCGGCGGCGAGTCTGGCGACTGGCTGCCAGGGCTGCATTCTGGTGCAGGGAGACGAGGGCGTCTTCAGGCCGGGCGAGGGAGCCGCTCTATTGCCACCAACGACGCAAGCTCCTGCCCATACTCCTCGTACGTAATAACTTAGTTATTGATTAATATAATTTATAATTTTTAGTTTAGCTAAAGTAATAGTCAATATGCTGGCGCTCATAGCCGTTGCTTGAGTTTCAACAACATGACTCGATTAACACGAATGCTTTATATTCGTAATAGTGATTCCTTCGTCTAGAAGAAAAATCAATCTATACTCTATTATTTCACCTCTCAATATTATAAAAAATGTTGATTTCTTCAATCTTATTAATCCCCTCGCCTTATTAATTTCTTTCAGACTTTTCTCCTGCACCCTCCATGTCGTCCTCGCATCATCCACCCAATCAGCAGCACCCAAGAGACCAACAACAACAACAACAACAACAGCAGCAGCAGCAACAACATCAACAACAACCGAAGCAGGCGCAGCAGCAGAAACCACGAGGCGCCTTAGGAGGCGTTAACGGCGACACCTCAGAGCTCGTCAAGCTCCTCAACAGGCGCTACGTCTCCGTTGTTCCTCCTAACGACTTCTGGAACGTTCAGTTCGAAGTGAAACAGCCCATGCTTGTCAGGTGGGCCTCCTTGTCTATGCATCTAGCGCAGCTTGTCTTCCGGCCTTGTCAATTCATCCGGTCTTGTCAATGCATCCGGTCTTGTCAATGCATCTGGTCTTGTCAATGCATCCTGTCTTGTCAATTCATCCTGTCTTGTCAATGCATCCGGTTTTGTCAATGCATCCTGCAGGTGCATTTGACAGCAGAGAAAATGAATTTAATCAACTTGATGGGTTATGTAAAAAATGAACAAATATTTATGCTGTTTCCATATTGAGGACAAGTTTTGAATTCTGTTTTCGTATCTGGAGCATATAATGAAAAAAATTGCATTTTATGTTTTTACATATCGTGCTAGTCCCGGAAACGGCAAAAATTTGGTAGCCACCGTGTACTCGAGACCAGTTTTCTAGCATATTTTCAATCACTGGAAAACTAGACTAGAACAAAACTATTTCTAGATACTCTCATTTTGTGAACATTTTTTATGTGAAAAATTCCATTGATGAATAATTATTCGTTATATTCGACTGGGAGGCTTATTTCTTTGTATTTTTTGTTATTAGGCGAATTAAAAAAAATAAGTCACGTGATAAACCGTGATTACTGTAGCTAAAAGTGTAAACTTATTGAAAGCAATGATGTAGCTTCTAGCATAGGTATTGAAAAAATCGTTTTTCCAATTGTTATTACCTGTATGCACTCGCATATCATGCCCCAAATCAAGTTTCTACTCAAATCAAACAATTTTTTCTCTGTAGAATCAACTTGACGGTACCTCGGTCATCATACCTGGCTGTGTACGGTCGTCGCAACGTGCCACCTTCCATCACACAGTACGACTTCGTCCAATTTATTCGGAGTGGACGGACGACGCGCATGCGCAGAGACGCCGCTGTCTCGGTCAGTGTCCACGTTATTTCTTCATTTTATTTTGTGAATGAGAAAAATGAAAAATTATGAAATAAAAAACCCATGAATTTTTCGTCATTCACATTGTGAATAGTTAAAATGGATTTGAAATATATTTCTGAATACTTGTGATTACATAAAATTGATTCAATCTTCTTTTATTTGTAAGTTTTGCGTCACTTCTTGTTTTTGAATGATGTAGTGCATGGGCTTTTTTTCTTCTATATCTATAGCAAATATTATTAGTACGCTTTATAAGTCTTAGTACAAAAATTCGTTCATAGTTAGTAACACGTAGCTTCTCGTTCTCTGACTTTGGCTGCTGTTGTTTCCACTGACAGAGCCCAACTCACGAAGAACACATAGAAGAATATGACCGCTTCCAATGGAGAGATCATTTTGATTCTACAACGCCTAAACGAACTATAACATTTGACGAGTTTCTTTTGAGCCACTCTAATAACGGTCCTTCGAAACACCACGGTCATCATATAAATCGTAAATCCCACCACCATAATCACATAAACATTCACCACCGCAATCGTAATCAACACCACAAGCACCATCACCACCCGCACCATAAGAAACACCCTAGAACATACGACTGTGGAGATCACTTTAATGGTTCTCACCCCAATTCTGGTGGTCGTGTTCAGACGTACGACGATCGGCCACTAGTGGACAAGAATATCTTCGGCGATGCCCCCAACAGCGAATTCCTTCAAGAGCTTGCAGAAACTAGTGAAGATTTTCCCATGTGGCTTTACAAAGGGGATGACAAACAAGAACAAGATGGTATCGAACATATTCCAACTCCACAAAGTCTGACTTCAAATCAAAATAGTGGGGATAGGTCGGTGTTGGATTACGTCAACGACGAAGCGCCTCCTCCTGAACGTCTCAGACGATACGTCGGAGGGGAGCTGTCGCTGAACGTGTCGCTGCTACACCACATGAACACCGGCGTGTGGTACATGGCCTTCTATAACGACGCTCTTGCTCAAACTCAGGTCAGTGATCATCACTGGAGTCGTTCTTATCAATTTTTTATGGATTGAATGCATTTAAGTGGTCTGGTTTCTTAATAAAATTTGCTTACATTTTGTATTATAATACATGAGTGAATCCTACCAATTAAATGGAATTTTTGAATTTGAAGTTTTGAATTATGCTCTCCAATCCATTAAGCAGATCTAGCCAGCAACTACGTTTACATTTATGCTGGTAACTTGCACGCGTATAAATACTTATAAATTAACTGTTTTTTTATTTGATTCGATTTTACATCACGAATAAACATGTAACTTGCGCACGTGTCGTGCATGTTGCAGATCGCGCTGGTGCTTGAAGAGGCCGGTGAGCTGCAGTCCGAGTGTCCGGGCGACTGCTCGGGCCACGGCTCGTGTGTGCTCGGCCGCTGCGAGTGCGTCCAGGGCTGGACCGGCCACGACTGCTCCACCAGTCAGTAGCCTTAAATAATACGATATAATGCGATCCTTATAGTCCATAATGCGATCCATCCTTATAGTCCATCCTTATATGCAAGTCGATCCCCTCATTATACGTATTGTATGGCAGTCACAAAACTAGCTCGTCAGTTATGATGCCATTTGTTACTTTGTTGACGCCATTGATGCTTGTTGCTGCAGGCGTGTGCCCGGTATTATGCAGCAGTCACGGGCAGTATGGCTTTAACTCTAGTCACGTCCTCTATATTGTACATTTATTAACACACCACACGTCTCTTGCTGCAGGCGTGTGCCCAGTATGAACAGTGCCAGCACGGTGAGTGTGTCTGCCAGCCTGGATGGAAGAGGGAACACTACCAGCACGGTGAGTGTGTCTGCCAGCCTGGCTGGAACGGGGAACACTGCCAGCACGGTGAGTGTGTCTGCCAGCCTGGCTGGAAGATCGAACACTGCCAGCACGGTGAGTGTGGCTGTTTGATTTTGACGTACGAGTCTCTGATGTGAAGCTGTTCGTTGTGTGCAACGAAAACAAAAAATTATTGCTAGTATAGAATAACGCTCAGTGTTTGAACTTTACCAAATCCTGATGAACCATTTGTTCCAATACCAAACTCCATCACCCACTACTGCCCGCTTGTTTATTGAATTGAATTCATCTCATAAAACATTAGATCACTTATTAACTCTCGATTTATCAAAAAAGTCTATTCTCTCACAATGCACAGCTCAATAATTCAAGCATAGGAAAATATTCCCTACACTCGCGTAATGTTCTTACTACGTACGTTAGCACCCGAGGTTATTAAGGTTAAAAGATACCCCAAATAATACATTAAACGTGTCCTTAAGACGCGTTAAAAATGAGTTCCCATTTAGAAAGTTTGTGATGAATGCCCCAAGTTTTCCTCCTCTGAAGGCGAGATTCACAGCCGCGGAGCAAAGAAAGACGGCAGTTAGAGCCTATTTACTTCTCTGCATCTTTCGCTGGACTTTCTCGTTCTATTTTCGGGAATGTAATTACTAACTTTTTGATTGCGATTGTAATCTTCGAGTATGCAGCTTTTATGCTGCATGTATGCACGATAAAGTTAACTCTGTACGTTTTCTGTAATATTTGAGTCTTCCTTTATAGTCATTACTCGTCCGAAGTCTGGACTGTTTACTTCATCATCTTTCGACGCTGTTAACTTTTTTATATTCTGCTTCCACGATCTCGGTGGTTTTTGTTCCTACTTTTCGGATGCAGTTTTGGCGCTGCAAGAGTTTAGGGCGGTCTGAACTTTGCTCATTTACCTGACGCTTGTTTGACGAGTTGCGCCCCGAGGTGCCTTGAGATCCCTTGACCGTGGCGAGCAGGCACTCCCTGCTCTGCCTCCTACCTAACGCGCTGTGTTTGGTGGCAACCGCTAAACCTGCACGAAATTCTTGTCATCCAAGTTTCATTATCCTTCTTGACTTCTCGTATGTGGTAGCTACAATTTCATCAGCGTGTCACACTCATAATGGGCATCTACCGAAAAATTCTAGAATATATCTCTTTGCTCCATGCTTATTTGCCTTTTTACAACCCTTCTTTTTAACTTCACTTCTTGTTGTTTATTTGTTTGTTTGTCTACTACAAATCTTGTTATCGATATTTAACACACTTCTTCTTGTCCAATCGATCTGAAAATTTGTACACTTTCGTAAAGTCGGAGACAATGCATGAATCAATTGCCAACTGAAAAATTGTAAATATTTTTTTTAATATAAAAAATGTACAAATAATTTTTCTAACATATAAAAATAAAGAAATTAATTGTATATGTGTAACATCGGAGACACTAACCTCTTTAGAAGTGTTGTTTTAAAAAGTAATTTTTAAATGCATATTATTTATACTTAATATCGCAATTAACTTTTTAAATAGAATTCTGTCGAATTTCATCGTCGTGTGGTATCAACGGCAAATAGTTTTAAAATTTATTGACATACGTACAACTATACTAATTTGGTGCTGCTGCATAAGATGTCTTATTGTAATCTGTTTAAGTAACTATTTTGCTAAATGCTTGACTGTGAAGGTAATCTATGGGGCGATGACCGCCATGCATCGTCACTTTAGCAAGGCAAGGCAGCAGTGAAGATTTGTAGAGACCTGTCCTGGATCACTGAATAACTCATTTATCGATCCCACCCAATGCAGTTGACTGCGAAGACCCGACGTGCGGTGGTCACGGAGGCTGCGTGGAGGGCCGCTGCTTGTGCCATGTTGACTGCGAAGACCCGACGTGCGGTGGTCACGGAGGCTGTGTGGAGGGCCGCTGCTTGTGCCAAGCAGGCTGGACGGGCCTTAATTGTTCTCAGGTCGACCACAAAGTTTTCACGTGTCTGCCGGACTGTTCAAGCCACGGACATTACGACCTCCACGCCTCCAAATGTGTCTGCGATTCCTTCTGGACCGGCGACAACTGCAACCAACGTAAGTTTAATACTATACTCTAGTTACTAAAACATAACTTGTAATGAGGCTTCCAAATTAATGCGCTTAATTATATGGCTACCATGCATTCGTGCTAACAAAGAGGATTAGAAACAAAACTACTTGTAATTTGTTTTCTACAATATACTCTACTCAAAATATATGTAACGTTCGGCCTCTTAATTAGCTTGAGAATATGAATACTATTATTTCAATATCTCCTTCATGATACTTTTTATGCAACACAGATCATATCTTTTGAGTTTTTGAGGCATGCAAGGCTGGTATTAAGCAGTTATGTTCGTAAGAGTTGTCGTCTCATCACCGCTCGCTGAGCCTGGACTAACAAGGCTAAACTAAGAGTTGTTGGCTCACTTATCGGTCACTTGCACAAACTTCTCGCATTAACAAGCACTTCTTATGACAGGCTCTTGCTGAGATATTATTAAAAACCTTAGCATCTTTTCCGCTCATGAGGCTGCGTCGATATGAAATCTTGCGATTTTGCATCGAAGTTCTCATCAATTAAATTTTTTACTGTTGACTAATTATCAGTTGCCATAAAGTTGCGTGTTGACGTCAGATTTGATTGTTTGAATTTTGTTTAAAAAATTTTTATTCATTATTCGGTCATTCATCTCGGCTTATTTCGTTGCGTTTACCCATTTTCCGATATAGTTAAATGTCAGGATCACGACCCGTAGATTTTCTTCCTACGTAGTTTCAAGTCGCGTGACCAATTGACTGCTGCCAAGATAAATTCATCACTTATCATGCAGCAACTTTTAACAAAGTTCTTCAGCAGCAGATTTTTTCACTAAAATGAGCCATGTTCAGCTTAAAATTAATATAGACTGATGGTCTCTGCTCTATATTTTCTAAAATTTTAGTGTTTTACGAGGTTGTAAAATGTACCGCCCAGAAGAACTAGAGTTCATCATGCAGTATTATGACGACCATCAAGCCGGTTCGTGTTCTTATGTTAGTGGAATCTGTCTACTTCAGGGCCTAAATTCGGCAAAAAGTATTAATTTTTGGTCCAAATAAAAGTTTGTTATTAGCTTATTTAATGCATCACGTTTAACTCTTATTCCATTCAAGGGACATAATTCATTTCCCGATCATAGTAATTTAGTCCTGAACAGTTAAATATCGTTATGCCAGATTATATTGTGCTTCAAAGATACACGTTAACAATGGTCATTCATTCACGTTGATGACCTTATACCATGACTTTTATTCAAATTATTTCATTTATTGATTTTTCTGTCATTCTGATGCATGGAATATATACTTGGAATCATTGGTCAAATCGCGTCGGTAATAATGAAGGCTTAATGCACTGCTACCTCGTCTTGTGACTCGTCTTGCGATGGCTTTAATGCTCACTGGGTTTTTTATTGCGCACTGAGATTGGTTTTGGCTTTTTGCCGACTGTTGCTGACGGCTGTGCAATGTGGCAGCTTTGCCGCTAAAGAACTTTTTTAGGTTCTTAGGTTCGCTAAAGAACTTCTTTAGGTTCTTTAGTGTCTCTTGCTCGTAATGAAGCTCTTTGATGACTTTACTGCACCGGAGATTTTCTGCAGGCTTCAGTTTAAATCTTCTCACGGCCATCTGGTGTTGCTGCATAACTTAGTTTACTTGGGCAGTGCGTTTCATTTCATGGATTAAAATGGCCTGCTAATACCATTGACTGATCTCACGAAGTTCCACTAAGCGACTTTTATTTTTTTTAAACATTGAGCCGTTTCCACCATACGGTAAAGAAAATTGCCTTTCTTGATTTTAAATGAGTATAAATTAAGTTGCAGAAAAAATTTCGTGCTCGACTTGTAAATCATTTACGCGAGGACACTTGATCCGGCCAAACTCTAATGCTCTCTGTCGCTGCTGCTTTACTTGTACCCTGCCTCCTCGCTTCTGAATACAAAAGTTTCCTAGCGGGAAATTAAGTAACTCAGCCAAGCCTTTGATTCGTGTTGTAAGCGGCTTTGGCTTGGCACTCTAGGATTACTGAACGTGCTTTTAGAACTCTGTCCTTCTCAACCCACCTACCGAGTTAAGAACGTCAAGTACTCCTTGGTGGTGTTGGCAGAAGAGTGTACTTGAGTTTGTTCATTTATTTTTTACGTGAAGTTCATTAATTTAGAAAATATAATTGTGAGATGAAGCATTACTGAGTGGGGTACTTTGGGTCTAAGTTATTTTTTAGTCAAAAAATTTGAATAATGAGAATGCCGTCAATCTTACTCATTTATGACGCTTATATTAAAGCACTTATTAATTAGGTAGTAGCGCTCAAAAAGTGTAAAAGATTGTTCAAACAATGTATTCGGAAGTTATTTTCGTTTTTAACAATCTGTTAAAAATTACGACTAAACCAATTTGAATTATTTTTTAATCTCGCCTACAACTTAAGTTGGTATTTTCACTGATGAGAAACGTTTTAAAGTTGATAATAGATTAGTTCTAACCAACCACTCCCCATTATATAGCTTAATTAAAAACTGCAATGTTCCGAATTATTGGCGGTCCTCTCCCTCCCCTCCCCCCAAAAAAATTTTAATCGACAAATTGGTTATGGCGGTAATCCGAAGTTTTCAAAATTTATGACTTTTATTTATTTATTATCATTATCATTATTAATATTATTTTGAGGATCCTATTTATTATTAGGATCCGGGGTTACGCTCTGAAAGTTGCGGCCACGATAATGTGTCCTTAGAAGCGATTATGGCTTAGTAAGGACTTACGGGAACTATTACCTGATACTTTGATAGCCTGCATGGTATGCTTTGCGCCAAACTGTTTTTAGAATCTGACGAATATATCCCGTAATATAGAGCAAGCTTAAAGCGTGTGTGGCTTTACGTCATTATAAAACTTCATGTGCTAAATTTCGAATGTTCGTAAATTTCTATTCATAGATTTATTCTATTGAAATTATGTTCAACTTGTCAAGCTTGTGGACAAAACTGTGAGGTACGAGCTTATAAAATGAATTTGAAGGCAAGCGAAACAAGAATGGAGTAGAGGCAAGAGAAATCTTTTCTATATTTAAAAGTTGCAAGATGGTATAAATTGCCTTCAACTCCCCGAAATTGTTGTGTGCTGCCTAATTTCGGTAGCGGCTCCTCTTCAACAGGCGTGAGAAGACAAAGGAGCCGCAACTCGCTCCCGCGTCTACCCAACCTTTCCGAAGAATTGGAAACGGTGGTTAGGCAAGGCACAAAAATTAGCTCTGCTCGATGCGATAAAAGGTCATCAATGAGACAAGTTCGCAAATCGTAGCAAAAAGTATATAGAGCTGGCGCAAATTGTCGCCACACATATTGAGTAAGATGCGGTCTGGATTACTGTGGGAAAATCTTTCAAATGAAGTATGTATAAATTCTTAGAAATATCAAAGATAATTAAAGTATTGAAAATTACGGGCTATACAAATTATTCGGGTTTAAGTGAAAAGGAACAGGATTCACCGCCTCATCACCGTTTGTTCCGTGCCTACGAAGATTGGTGATGTACCTGAAGCATTAAAAAATCTTTCAGTGAATCGCTGGTGAAGTGCTGATTCTTAGAGCTGGGCTACGCTCGCGCAGAGGTAAGTTGCCGGGGCCAAGGTAGTGCATGGTCGCAGCTAAAGCGTCAGGTGTGCCACCGAGGTAAGTCGTGGCGCAGACGACACCCACTCTAGCAAGTGCCCACGCATGCGTCCAGGGTCCTGACCGTGCTCAAGCTAAGCTTCCATGAAAGTCTTTACTCCATGAGTCCAAATGTAAACCGGGGCCAAAGATTCTTCATAAGTTCCGCACCATCTGACTTGAGGTGTCGACAGATACGGTGGAATTGAATCTGGAAGCTTCAACAGCACCCTGGGAGTTGCTGCTGCTAGGTCAGGCAACGAACTGGCGAAAATTCTTCGGGGAAGAGGAAGTTTAATCGGGGGTGAGATGTTAGTTTCAGGTTAAATGTGCACGCTAAAACTACTTCCAACGTCACCCAAATCATATAAGGCACAGAGCAGGTGCGGATGTGAAATCTAAGCCCGAGATTTCTCAGAAATTAAAACTAAATCATAGTTTTTTGTTCAACTTGGGAAGAGAGCTCGTTGTGCTGCTAATTGGTCTATGTACGTCAGCAATTTCATAGTTGCTGGAACTCGTTTCAAAACCGTAAAAAGGTTGAAATACAATGTGAAAATTTAACATCAAAGTTGCAACTATTTCGTTAGAAATGCCGGGCTTTCACATCATCATTAGTCAAATACTGCCTTAAACCTACTTACTATATCTAATGATCAAAAAAGTTGTCGAATGAATTATATGATGATTCATTGAGTGTTTTGGAGGGGTTTTCTAGAATCGCTAATAATCTTTCAGGGTTAACAACATTTCAGGACTTTTGTAGATAAAACCTATCCTGACATTTTAGCAACATTCGTACAATAAATTGTGATCGCTGTGCTGATTGGAAATCGAATTTCAAGCTCCGTCACGATTGAAGATTAAAGAAGCTTACCGAACTCGGTGGATTTGGCAAGCGTCATCAGAATTTCAGTTTTACTACCTGGCTTCTCAAGATCGAACAATCGAGACTTTACTTCACCTTGACGCGTATAAATGTAAAGTGACTAAAGGTGTTCTTTTATTTGCGGCCCTTCTCATTTGGTGACTAAAGATCATAAAAAATATCGTCATGCCAGTAGTTTTCGATTTTTTCAATTTTTTACATAATTAGATGAGTATAAGAAGGGAACATCGCCCAAGAACATTCATAGCACACCTCGTGGCAATTATTAATTGATTATTAACGTGAGTAAGGAGCAATTCGTTCATTTCCAGCCAGTTTCTCTGGCCGTAAAACGACAATTCCATCAATCGGGTCATAGACGTCGATTAATTTTCCGATTGAAGAATAAGTGATCTTTGAATGCCCGTTCATATGGGCTTCTAACTTGCAAATTGTAGTGCATGGTTTATGTCTGCCGGTATATATATTTATTGTTGTTCCTTAACAAAGCTAAGAATACATTCATTCCAAAACTTTAATTGGAAAAAATATTCGAAATCTAAATTATTTTTAACCTATGTTTTGCTCTTTCATTTTATATTTTTCAAAACCATTAAAGGAATTATGTTTTTTTCACTTTTTTTCTCTTTTTTTTCTCCCACTCAAATTGTGTCTTAATTCTCAAGTTCTTTTCATCAATGACGACGTTTTTATATTGACGCTTTCTGCTAACGAAGAATGTATTCCAAACCCATCATTAATTGCGTCTTAGTCCGTTAATGTCATTTGAGACTTGCCGCTCACTTCTTGCCGGCGACTTTTGAGTTGTTAAATCCGATTTGTTTCATAAGTAATGAAAGCTTCTCACGTTGGCATAAGAAACTTCGGAATTATGGAAGTCGGAGTTGCTCTATCACAGCTAAGCAACGCGCGAGGATAATTCTTTCCGATCCTTTATTCTGGAAAAAAAAATAATTCCCTGTCAATCTTTCCGCAGAGCGTTGAATGAAAATTTAACTCGGTGGTGCACTTCCGAACTACCGTAAAACTCTCCATTGCTTTTGACGCTACATTTTCCCTCGTGAGTTTTTGTGCTCAGGCTTGCAATTCTTGAGAGCCAATTTTCTGCATCACTTCTTGAATCAGTGTTCTGATTTTCTAATGAATTCATGTTCTTTTGTCTTGGAGGCTTTGAAGTTCAAATTGACTCTCATTACTCTGCCTATTTTCTTGCGCTGTGAGCGAGCATTCATCAGCTTTGAAATGCGCTTCATTTGTTGAATTTAGAACACGATTATTATCAAAGATGTACTTCACTGGAAAATATGCACTGTATGGGAATAGTTCTTAACTTAGATTCAAATAACAAATCATGCAATAAATTCAGCGTGCATATTTAGACAAATGCTCCAAGCAAGAGTTTAGCTAATCAATCATCGTATAGTAATGAAATTAGACTTTCTAATTTACCCCTTTTCATTTATTGAATGAATTAGCGCCAGGAGTACAAACTATTGTAACTAGAAATGCTCGCTTTATGATGGTCATAATTATGCAATACTTAAGCGTTTAACATGAAAACCCCATGGCCTATCGACAACCCTGACTCATTTATTCCCTTTCTTAATTATAAAATGAAGCCTTGGTTTATAAATTATTTACTGGCTCGTTGATTTATCCCCATAATACTGAATGTACTGCGTTCATCTCATTATCTGAGGGCTAGTCGCTGCCCTCACATCCTCTACTCATCTGCCGTGACACAACATGGCGACACTCCTCTTCCCTTGTGCCGCGACGAGCGACGCCCCTGCAAGCCCAAACTATTACCTGTGACAGTCCAATCGCCCAAGCCCTTTATCTAAATTGAAATTCATTTTGTTGATCGTATACGCCTATGGTATGAGGAGGGCTACGTCCCCGGCCTTTCAGTAGCCGAGATAATTGGAAACGCCGGCTTTCGATCCCTTGTATAAGCTGGAGCATTGCATTCGTGTAACAAATTATGGATAATTTTGAATCCGCGCTCCTGCTCTTCATTTCAGGATGTTGGTCTGAAAACATGATGAATTATTACTTTTTTAGTTGTTGGTTTGTTATTTTAATTCATGAAATGATTACATACCGGTTTCATTCTGTCGTTTGAACTTCGTGCTATGACATGATCTTGAATTTTACATTATAAGTTATTGATGTAGCTCTAATTCTTTGAGTGACCAGCATAATAATAATACACCAATTTATTATATATATCAGCTGCTGCTATCAATCTACACTTGAATATTATTCTTTTGGAATGCCGCGCAACTATCTCTCCCTACCTGCTACATTCATCGTCGTTCATTCAATTCCATGAACCTGACCACGCGGTGTGGTGTTCTTTTGTTCGTTTAGAAGTGTGATTATTGCAGCCTTTAAGACCTGTCGCCCCCCGTAACGACGCTGTTCACAAGTTTTATTGCACTTTTATGTGCCGGAATAGCAATTCAATATTCGCGTTCGATACATTATAGGCCGCCTATAAATGCAAGGTACGTGCGTGCATCCCTTCTATCCGTGCGCTTGTGATTGTCCACTGCACGCTACCTGGTCCTCTGACGCCGCGCGTGTCGCCCCGCCATACGTCACTGAGCGGCCTGCTTAGTGGTTAGAAAATCGTCGCTGCCTAAGTTATTATCACTGCCGTCTAATTGGCCGCAAGGCACTCTTTTATACCCACGCTAAATTGCTCTTTATCACCTCTCTTCAGTCACCTCCAGTGTTGAAGTTTCGAGCATTATATTAGTACATTTTAATTGTGACAGAAAGCGCTATGATTTTGTTTAAAAATTATTACGAGATTATATTGTGATCGGTATCATGATAATCTGTTGAAAAATCCATATTTATCTTCTACGTTCCGATATCAATCATTTGAGTACAATTCGACTTTTCACGTAGCGTGAAGATAAAATTGACTTCACTTCTTTTTAAATGGTAAATACTAAAATAATTCTTTTAAATCTAAATATTTTCCAGGGAACTATCGCTGCCACCAAAAACCTCGTCATTTTAGCTGCTTCCCTTAGATTGTTACAGCGAACGAAAATCTTCCCTTTCGAAATGCACCGATTTTTCCCGTTGGATTGCGTTCAGTTGTAGTGACCCGGAAAGCTCGCGACCATTGTCAGTAGATCTCATATTTTTCACCGAGATTGGAAGAATTTTTAAATTTGAGAGCAGCTGCGCCAAGACTCGGCAGCTTCGCGAGACTCTTTATAACTTCGTTCCAAAATAATCCACGATACTGCAGTGCATTGGGTCTTAAGGATCAAGGGAGCTGAGAGCAGATGTTACTTTTCCCAGCTCCACAATTGTGGCGGACTTTGCCAACGACCTGCCGACACGCAAACAATCTTCTTACTGTAGCTCTCATGTCAATTTCTAGTCTTCTCGTAAGAACTCAATAAAAGAGCTTCTGTGCTTTCCATACTGTGCCAATATGGCTCCTCATTATCCTTCTCGCAGCGAGGACTTCGACCAGCGTCGAAAACTTGCTGCTGCATTTTACCTGGCATATTTATAAATTTTTGCTGATGAGAAATGTTACTTTAAACATGACTTTTCTCCGATGCTCGTTACTTGTTCTTTATTCCCTATGCTCAGAGGCAAAACTTGAGTTCGTGAAAAAATATTCGTCGTTGTTTTTTCATACTAAACTTTGTGGTCTGTTATAGCGGCGATTAATGACACCTAATACTCTCCTTAAAATAGAACCCAACTTTCCCAATCAAAAAAGTTATGGTGGAGAAGTTTCCAGGCAAGTTTTCGGCATGTTACTTTTATACCCAGCGACTCAGATGTACTCCCACTCAGTGCAGGGCAACAGTTATTAGTATTGAATGTCAACAGATAGCCCGTTCTTCAGATCTCATTGTGTATATTTTAAGTTTATTGGTGACGTAGTATGAAACTTTTGTCTCTATATTTCTACACGTATTACTATAAATGCAAAATTACATCCAAAGCTGCAGTGTTTCATCTGCGCAACAATGTAAGACTTGCTGTTCTATTTTTACTGAACAACTTGACCATTCAGCCATTCGTGTTTAAATACAATCTTTTGGTTATCTTTTATTGCTTCAAAATTTCACTAGCAGGACAGCAAAAAAAAATAAAATAAAAATAATAAAAAAACAGCAACAAATTACTAGCCGGATAGCAACGTACCCATAATCTCATCACTACAAACCTTGGTCAGCTCAGAGTCGTCTCGAGTCCAATGCCATTATTTTGCTTCAGTTTTTCCACCTCAAAAACTGCATTTTATGAAGCAGAAAACTTGATGCTACAAAGCTGATGACCTGCACAAACTTCCCTAACTTCCGATGAGGTCTGAGTCCAAAGTGTGTTTTGCAAAGCTTCTTCCTTCTTGCTGTCCAGATTGAAATACACGAACTGCGAGATATTTTAGGTCTGTAGTCTGTTTAAAATGTTTAGTTTTGCATTGTGTTTTTAATTATTTACAGATTTCACAATGCCGTATCATAATTGCGCCAGCAGTTGAGTGCTAGATGTTCAATCCCATTTTCATTTTTTAATCACGCATGTCATATTATAATGATACTTCGCGTCGTTACTGTCAGAAATATGGCCAAAATTTTGAATATTTTTATACAACGAATGTGTTTCTCAATGCTCAAGTAATTCATTCTAGCAGTAATTTTGACCGAAGTTCTCACATGAAGCTCTATTTTCAAGTTTACAAGTCTCTATTTAGAATCGGCCCATTCAAAAGATTCTCATACACTAGACATTTGCTATATTATTTTTTCCCGATAAATATCTCGGAAGTCCTTTTATGAGGGAAGACGGCGGTTTTCAGGAAGTGTTCTCTGTATTTCTGGACGATAAACTTTGTAGATGACATTCTAAATTTCGTAGTCAGAGATTCCTTCTGTTCAAGTATCCGATCATTGCAAACTTTTCTAGCTGTTGTAATAAGTGCTAGAGAAGAACTTCATCGCACTTCTTCGAAAAATAAGCCAATAAATTCCAGCGAAGCGAATTCCTTCAAAAGACTCGAGTTTTGGCTCCACGAAGCTCGAGTTCATCTTTGGGCATAAAACTCGGCCCAGAGAACTGACTGATGGCAGGAACACGCATCACTGGGCTTGGGGAGCTGGGCTCCGAGGTTTGGGGCGGGATTGGATTTTGAATTGGACTGCACCCAATATTATATCATTTTACTTCATTTTATTGTGCTATGTGTAAACCTTACATCTGAGTGATGGAAAGAAATCGTTGAATATGAAATGCATTTCCCGACCTCTCACTTCCAGCGTGGCAATGCGACGTATCGTGCGCACACGGCAGCTGCGGTGCGTCGGGATGCGAGTGCGCGCAAGGCTGGACGGGCGAGCGCTGCGACGAGCGCTCCTGCGACGCCCGCTGCTCCGAACACGGCCAATGCCACAACGGCACCTGCATCTGCATCCAGGGCTGGAACGGCCGCCACTGCACCATTCGTATGTTATTGCAAGAAACTATATTCTTTGATGTATATAAATGAACAAAGTATGTGTTAAATCCGTCTGTCTCACGTTGTTAATGTTTCTTTGGCCAGCTGGGTGCGTGAACAGCTGCTCTGGACACGGGCTGTGCACCACACAGGCAGGCGAGTACAGCTGTCAGTGCTCGACAGGCTGGACGGGCGACGACTGCTCCGTGCAACTGGAGACGCAGTGCAGCGACATGATCGACAATGATGGCGGTATGCATTTTTATAATATGTTTTATGTATGTATATGTCCGAATCCTTGTCCTCATGATTAGGTAGAAATACAATAAGTCTGTAGGCGCATAAACATGCATCTGCATGGGACACATAACTATCTGTAAAAATGTTTAAGATTCAGTGGCATATTACTGAAAAACTCTTCTTCGTCGCGCTCTGAAATCTTTATAAGTAGCTAACGACCTGATAAAAAAATCGTTCATACCACCTCACCTTATTTATTTTAACTTCATTTCGATATAGCTTCAAGATTTATAAAAGAAATGGTTCAAAATTTCTTCTTTGCCTTTAGTTGGAAATGCTAAAACATTCTATCATTATTCAACTTTCCACGCCCTGTATGCCAAAAAATTTCCGTACTTGCATTTCGCATTGGCAGGGAAATTGCATCCTAAGCTTATTTGCGTGCCTAATGAAGGCTGGCCTTTTTAGGCCAGTCAGGTCTCTCGATTACTTGACCCAGTGTGCGACTGTCCATATCTCCTCTTGAATGACCTTATCTGTCACCTGTTTTACGGAGACTGAGAGGTGAGTGGGCTAGTTNGTGAGTGGGCTAGTTCATCTTTCACCGGTTTCTTGGAGACAGTGTGGTGAGTGGGCTAGTTTATCTGTCACCAGTTTCTTGGAGACAGTGTGGTGAGTGGGCTAGTTTATCTGTCACCGGTTTCTTGGAGACAGTGTGGTGAGTGGGCCAGCTTATGTCGCCGATTTTACGGGACCGTTGTGCGAGTGTGCCGGGTCCTTCATTTGACAAGACTTCTTCTAAGGCAGTCTTTCACTGTGTCTGCAACTGCACAAGTTCCTCCATAAGTCGTCGCGTGACACTCATTGCTGAACTCCCGTTCGTTTGGTCCATTCAACCTTGTGCATTTTTCCTCGTTATTAATTTTCGGAAGTTCTGGAATGTTGTCTCTTTCTGACTGGATTTTCCCTTGGATCTGAAATAATAAAATTTACTGTCTGGGAAATTTATTTTATTTCTTGGTCAGAATTCATTGCTCGGGATAAATTAATCAGCATCTGAAACTGAAAATTTCGATCCTTCATTTATGACTTTCCCGAATCCCGAGTTTATAATTTTGTAGCCTATTACAAGCCCGATCTTCTTTACAAATTTGAGCGCTGTTGCAAAATTACTCTGAATAATTATCAATTAATAAAATAATCGATAATTTGCATCAGTTGGCTTCGGTTTCTGCTAAAGAGCCAACCAATAATTACCAATTAATAAATTAATCGATAATTTGCACAAGTTGGTTTCGGTTTCTGCTCTAGAATCTCACTTTGATTTAGACTCCAAACAGTTGAAACTTTTGAGACCTGCTTTTACTCCGAGGTCATATAGTGACCAAAAAATATATACTTTTCAAATGAATAGAACCACCGCAAATTTACTTAACCTTCATATTGGATTTTGATTTTTATTTCAGACGGTCTGTTGGATTGCTCGGATTCTGACTGCTGCGGGACGGGCGCGTGCACCGACCACGTCATGTGCATGGTCTCCACAGACCCCGTGGAGGTGTTGCTACGGCGGCAGCCCATGGCGGTCACCGCGTCTTTCTTCCAGCGCGTCAAGTTCCTAATCGAAGACAGAAATGTTCAAAGCTTCGCCCGTGCCTCTGAATTCCTTGAAAAGTGAGTTATTTGCGATGCGGTGAATTCGATAAGAGTGATCATAGATTATTTCGCAATTGAAGGGCACAATTTCGACGTTGCCTGAAGTATCATCTTGAAATTTTAGATAAAATGTCATATTAATATTCAGTTGATGTTGATTTTCATATCGTTTTCCTCATACATTGAATTAGGCCGGTCACACAGATCAAAAGCATGCGGGTTTAGTTGCCGGTTACGAAAATCTAAGCTCATTGATAGTGTTGTCATTCTTCCTGTATTTGCTCGTAAATGTTAGTGTTTTACCATTCCTCAACTTCCGTTTTCGTCATACGCCTTCGCAATTCAGCGCATCGAAAACTCTTCAATGTAAAAACATGGAAAATTCTTCCCGCGTCATCGCAGTTGAGCTCAGAAAAATGTGTTGCGCCATCTGCCAGGCTGTCTTGCAAAGTTACATTTTGATGTGGTATCTCAAAGTGTGAGGCAAATGTGCTGCGTCAGCACGAATTTAGCCGCCACTCACAAGACAGCTCGTAGCCCGCCTGCCAACAGCCTCAAATTAATGACGAAGAAGACGAACAGTCTTCGATTTTTTAACGCTACCTCCCAGTGAGAGACACTCCAAGAGATGCTGAGATGTTCCTCCTGTATCTCGACTGAATTCTGGCTTTGCATTTTGAATTTATCTGAGTGGAGTCTGACTGAATCAGCAACATTAAATAACTGCAGTGTTTCTCATTGTGGTTAAGGTGTAATCTAATAAGTTTATTTTTTATTTCTATTTTGGTTCTTTTTTATTCATGTTTCGTGTCTTAAAAAAAGCAGGTTATAGATCGCACTCACGGAAGACGAAATTATCAGGCTTACTATAATGAGTCGATAAGAGTAAGAGAACCCAAAAATGAATAACATCGGCTGTAAGAGGGAGAACCAAGTCATAATAAAATTTCTTTCAAGTGAGAGCACAATTTAAATTATTTTTATCGCTTTTGATCCCCATTTTGAGGTTTTGCTGAAAATTTTTAACTGTTTCAATTAGTTCACTGACCAAATCTTTAGTCCGTCCTCAAAGTTTTCGTTAATGCGCCATTGAAAATAAGTGTTTCATTTTGTGAATTTTATTTGACTTGACGCTGAAGCTACTGTATAGTTTTTTTTATAAACTCAAAATTTATATTTTTGAAACCAAATGACTAAATGTCATTAATTTGGATAATTTAATATATCATCCAAATATATAATAATTCAAATATCACTGAATTCTCAGTTGAAATATTTTTGTGCTTGAAGCCTCCTCTTTGTGTTCTTTTGTATATTTATCTTATTAATGATAAATGAGTCAACTATCGTACACTATCAACTGTTTCGCGCACTTGTAAGCTGTGTTTCGCAATGGTGCAATAACTGCACTTTTATGCTTTCTTCACCCTCAGCTGATTTCTTCAACAAGCAAGGTTCTCGTACACGATGGCGCAAAATTTGATACGGCCGCTCTTTTCGCCCGTTGCAGTTTTTAATTCCATGGTATAATCTTCAGTGCGTCAGGGACCCGCTCTTACCCTCGTGTAATAAATAACATCTCTTGTTGCCGTGAATGACTGTAGCGCCTCTGAGGGAGACTCTCAACAGCCCTTCAAGATCTTTTGCAAGGAAATATTGAGATCCTTTCGAGAGCTTTCCGCTTCTTCTCTCTGTATTTATCGGCGGAAAACATCAAGCAAACCCCTCGTTTTTTGCTGTGTTATGCCTCTTGCCTTTCAAATTATTCCTAAAAATCGCGTTCAGCTGCAGAACTTAATCCCAGTGAAAGCTAATGTTATAATGCTTTCAGACCGCTATTCGAGATAGCACAAAGACAAGTTAAGTATCGATCGGATCGAAAATTAAAATTTTAAATTGAAAAGTTCGTATAAAAAACACTTCGTACATTTGTTTCATTTGACGCGCTATTTTGCAAACCTTTGTTTGACTGAAGTAATTTAAATTATCGTAATAAAGTCCGTAGACTTTGAAAATTTGCGTGACGTTTTATTACAACACTTCTCTTTAACTTCACTTCTTGTTGTTTGTCTGTCTGTCTTTCTTCTACAAATCTTATTATCGATAATTAACACTCTTCTACCTGTCCAATCGATCTGAAATTTAGCGCACTTGCATAAAGTTGGAGACAATGCATGAATCAATTGACAGGATAAATAATTTAAAAAAAGTAAAAATTTGTATTATTAATATAAAAAATGAAAAACTAATTTTGTCTGCTACATATCTTAAAATCGCTATTTAACACACTACTACCTGTCCAATCGATCTGAAATTTTGCACATTTGCGTTAAGTTGGAGACAATGCATGACTCAATTGACATAATAAATAGTTTTTTAAATTGTATTTTTTTATTTTAAAAATAAAATTTAAAAAGACTTTAATATTTGATGATAATATTAGAAATTCATTCTACATATGTAACATCACAGACACTAGATTCTTTAGATGTGTTGTCTTTAAAAAGTAATTTTTAAACGCATATTATTCATCTCAGAACGTATTTTCTATAATGAATTCACAACAGGTAGATACTTTTATAATATACCTATACTTTTTATGCTTTAAAATAAAAGTACGTATATAATTTTTATTTTAATATAAGTATTTATTATAAAAGTATATACTTCTATATACTTTATCGTGGTTAGGTTAACACAGTTTAACAGAAAATTTTTCAACCAAAAATTTTCAAATTTTTCGTTTGGGTTTCTGATCTCACCGCGGAATCCATAAGAAAAACATTGACTGCAGCTGCACGCCTCATTTTGCAGTCGGATGCACAGTATGAGATTGCTGCTTCGTTTCTCACTTCACGTAACTCCGTGAAATCTGCTCCGAGAATTCCAGCCGTTCTACTGCAATCGGCAAATTTAAAGGGAGCGCCTCTAAGTGAGTTTGAGAGAGAGAACGTGCGCTGGAGCGGAATGCGGATTGCGTTTGCAGCTTTGCGGACAAGCAACCGGACAGGCGTCGACTGCCGAGTTAAGACTGCCTTCAATATCGGACCCGATTGAATTTTCTTCCTCCTTTGATATTTTGATGGCCCGGGGCTTTTACAGCTGTTTAGGAATTGCGGATATCGGAATATTTTGCGTGAAATAATGAAAAACGTAAAATATTTTGTTTTTCATGTGCAGAATAGTCTATTTCAACCATTATTATGCATTTTCGATCACTTGCATTTAATTGACTTAATGGTTTTTGTAATATTTTTGCCCGCAATATCCACTAAGGTGCTACGAGTTTGTTATCGTCATTCTATTTATTCTAACGTCCTTACGAAATTTTTCAGCTTTTATATTAAGGTGCATATTTTCTCTTAATTTTATGCAGCAATCAATGCTTTACGTCGTTTTCATACATGCCCGCCATCTTAGTAATACTTTAGTGATATCAAATAACTAAGCTTTATGCAGTAAAAAATATCAGTTCATCTTGTGCCACTGATCTCATAATTGTGAAAATAATTATATGTTAACTTGTTCGCTGACCTGCATCATTATAAGTATAAACATCTGCTGTTATGTAAATAAAGTTGAAATTTATTGCCAATAATTCACCCCCACTTTCTTGTTTCATTAGCTGTTTGCCACGCACCACATTATTGCACTTAGTCGACACGATCTGTGTAATCCTTGTTTCTTATCATTACGAGTCAGGTTATCACGCATGATCCTTCTGATATCTTCCTGATGAAATACTCGCCTGCCATCGGTGAACTGTCATGTGAACTCTTTGAGGGTCTTCAGCGTTCGGTGTCTGGCAGAACAATGGCAAAAAAGCCTCTGCAAAAGAAAGCTATTCGTGCGTGAGGGAGACCGAGGCCCTCTGTCGGAGATAATTGGCAACCTGAGCTGACGTGCCAAGCTGTCGATGGCTACGGAATAACGATGTGGCTCTTGCCTGCGCCATGCAAGTCTGCTCACAGCTCCTCCTTTTTATGGAGCCCTCGTCGCAGCATTTTTTCCCCACGCCAGTCGTTTCAGCCGATGCGCATACGAAATTTTACTTGATTTTTTATATGAGAGAGAGCGAAGAAATAGTTATCTTATTCTATTCCGACTAAATTATCTACTTTACTATTAATATAGTACGATATTTTCGAAACACTGTCGTCCCACCGGTATGCTATATCCTTTTAAAAGGTGCTGCATTATTGTTTCTACTTCAGAAACTGACTTATTTACTGGATATAGTTCCGAACTTTGAAATTGGAAACGAAATCTGGTACCTTGTTCTATTCGATTCTATTTGCTTGCTTTAGTTTATGAATGTATTTATAACAAATATTTCAGCCTAAAATCCATTTTGCAACAAATTTTGCGATTACGGATTCAGGCAAAACACACTTGAATCCGATGTATACATTTATCTTTAAATTTAGCTGCCTCAGACACGAAGCAGTTTTATTTAACAACCTACATGATATTTTTTACTTACTGATAAATTTTTGAAACAGAAAATTTTATACCATGTGTACATTTTAACATACAATCAAATGCTTTGATTCGACAAAAAAAATAATAGATACGATTATTATTACATTGAAATTGAAGAAAAATAGCTTTAATAGCCTTATATTCTCATAAACTCACGAAATTTAACATAACGACGCTCATTCCCTTGCTTTGTTCTCATACAGACGCGTGTCGGTGATCAGAGGCCGCGTGGTGTCCGCTAACGGTGAAGGCATCGTCGGGGTGCGCACGAGCGTAGACAAGCAGTCCAAGTATGGCTTGACCGCCACGCGTAAAGGAGGCTGGTGTGTATTAATATAATTACCTACTGTATTGCCAATAGATCATTTAACCATGTGTAATAATTGCTTGTGTCATTTATAATTTTTTTTAATTTATATACTCTGATTTAAAATGTTAGGAAAATTGTTTATTTAATTACTCGTTAATTTACATTATCTTATTCTATTATGTTAGATTCCTGTAAAAATATTACTTTTTATTTATTTATTATTATTACATTACATTTTACAATTAAAATTGTATTTCATTACATGTTATTAAATTATCTGTTACTTATCAAATTTTGCGCTCGTTTGCAGGTTCGACTTACTGCTGAACGGCGGCGGTGCTGTCACACTGCAGTTCCAGCGCGCTAACTTCCAGCCCAAGACTGTGACTGTTCCTGTCATTTGGAACGACATTGTCGTCCTCGACCCAATCGTCCTAACGCTCAAGAGCCTAACGGAAGAAGAAAAACCTACATGTGAGAGCAGTTTTTGTGCATGTCTTGACACTATTGTTTCCTATTTACACAATGAAGTGATAAAACTTCTATGTGATTAAGTTATTCATTCCTTTATATTGTTGGTCACATTCACGAGTAATATCTTACTAATGCCCAGTGTGTCTTAACAACTTTTCTATGGTCCAGCTAATCTATGTTGCTAATCGTTTTGAAGCACAAAGAATCATAGTATCATAGTGGCTTTTGTAACTCGACAACGTGCTATTTTTCTTCTGTATAAGCTAATAGTAAAAAAGTTTAGAATGCTGCGAAAAGCACTTGATTTACATAGACTAAAAGTTTTAAGTCACCTCCAGATATTCCGATCCTTTTGCCTGTGTTGGCCGAACGTCCCTCAGAAGTTCCGGGAAAAGTCTTTGTGTTCTCAGAGCAGACAAGCTTTTTGTTCTTTCTCTGCCGGAAGAAAAAATTAACTTCGCTGCTCTCTCTCTCTCTTTTTGGGAAAACTTGACGCACTTCACGCAAACCTGATATCCTCCGGTCAGAAGTGGTTGGGCGAAGTGTGATGAGAAGTCATCGTGATAACGCACTTAAAGTATCTTGTGGCAATTATTAATGAGAATGATTTTTTAAATCGTACTTTATATTAAAACAAATCAAAATGATCCGTCTAATTGGAATCAACACGGATATCTTTGCATGGTTGGTATTGCCATTTAACGTCAATTTCTAATTAAGCTTGCATCTAACGGGGCGCACACGAAAACATCGTAAATTGGCCAATTACTTCTTTATATTTAGAATAAAATTCAATCTTGCACGTTTTGAACTGGCTAAAATTCTGCCTTTTTTGACGTTGCGTCAGCTTTATTAAAAGCGGGAAGATTAATATCAAATTTATTCTATGAGGCCCAACATCAAACGCTCTGGTATCCTAAATTGTGGGTAATTTATCCGCGCCGCTTTCGGTCGACAAGCGCACATCAACAGATAACAGGCAGATTTTACCTACTGTCTCGTCTTGATTGTACTTTGAGTTCAAGAGTTAAGGTTCAGATTAGAAATTCGTGCAGAGGAGCTTAGCTCCATCATCATTACATGGTCTTAAATTCTTTTTTTTTTCTTGTACCTCATTTTCAGAATGGCAAATTATCTGTTGAGTGACTAAATCCACAAAAATTCTACTTACGCAAATGAAACTGAATGTTAAGTGAAAATAAGGTTTTATTACGCGAGCTCCTTGAACGAAACTTGCTCATTTCCGTCATGTCTACACTTTACAGTCTATTTGCTTAGACTGTAGAGAATAAATTCGTCCGTTAGGCATCTAATTTTATTGACCTGTAAGATTTTTTCGCGAGTGTTGCAGGAAGCACACGGCTATCGGTTATCGTAGTAAAAGCCCTACAGGTGTTGTGCCGGTGGTCGATGACGGGGGCTTGCCGAGCAAACTCTTGGGTGTTCCTAAATTGCTTCTCGCTCGCTCTCGCTCATGCATCACTTTTCTGAAACGAGCTTCTATTTTGAAAACGCTCGATGCCTTTCATCAAGATTTAATGGGTATCGGATGAAAATTTTTCCGTGTGCTCCTGGCTTAGAGAAAAAGGTCTTTCAATGTGGGAAAATTAGATTCGTTTTATTCAGTATATTTGAAGTTTCTTTAACTGGGCTGGCAGATTTATAAAAGCATACTGAAGGATAACGATTCGGAGTAATTAAGTTCGTATATTAAAGCTGTAAAATTCGTTTCTATGGATAAATCTTTTCATGCATTTCTTTTTTTTTTCTTTATGGAGGCATTTGCTTCTCTGTCGTTGCCTCATTAAGCCGTTGAAATTTAATACTTAAATCCAAACCGTTAAACAGCATAAATGGTTCTAAAGTGTTTTTGGTGGTTGCACCAGCTGATTTCCGTGGTGAATAATGTCTCAGTTTTCAATAAATTCATGTTGCACACTCGCAGCTTTGTCGAGTCGAACGCTCTAAGAGCACCGTTCGTTATTTGTACATTGTTAAGTTCAGGCACTGAACGCTCCGGTCAATTCGTTGCGAGGAGTTCGGCTTTGAAGGGACTGACTTTGGAGTGATCCATGCGGGCGATCTGCAAACGTCCGCCGGATCGATTTCGCTTTGTCACGCATTTCATTGTTCGATATTTTGGGCATTTCGAATTTTTTACCTTGCATTTGTTGACTTTAAGATACGCATACCTGTGACCGCAAGTGTGACCGCATACCTGATGCGAAAATAAATTAGAATTTCACATTTCGTAATTCGTTAGCGAATTTGAGAAGAAATATTTTGTCTCCAGTATCCGTTTTTAGGACTTATGACTTACGCGTAGCTCACTTAATTCCTAATTCAAACGCTACTCATCACCGCCGTGAATTTTGCATCTGCTATTTTTCTTTCAAGCATTTTGTCTATTGTACCATTATTTTTTGATGCGCGTTGCCTGAGCGCGAGCACTTTTTTTTAGAATTTGGAATACGAAGCTGAGCTCTTCCATTGCGGTAATGTTGCGCGTGTCGAGCCTTTGAGCTGCTTCTTCTAACCTCGCTCACTTTTCTTGCTCATGAATTGCTGAAGCGTGAAGTGGCTCGGCCGCCCTAAAGCCCACGCCATCAGCAGCCCCATTGTGCTCATCATGACGCCATAGAGCCCCGTTCGCCCTGAACGCAATGTTACGTCTCCACGGCAATAATTCTGTCCGGCACAATGTCTCTCGCAGCATCTAGCAAGAGAATGCATTTTGTGTCCTTCTTCATCCATGAAATAGCCAAACTATTCATTTACATTATCACACACTTGTTCTCTGAATTGGAAACTTGTAGTCATAGCCCGTGAATACATATGGCGGAAGATTACATCAACAAATTACAAACCTGATGCTCAGATTGATTCTAATTTCCCGAACTCAACTTTTTTCGCCGAAAATTGGCCCACTATCTTGTCCATTGTTTTTCGAGGTTTCTTAAAGGAAACTTTTTCCCGATATTTGTGTTCTATAGCATCACTATTATAAACATATTCGACTGAATCGTTTGTTATTCTTCATTAACACAGCGATCGTTGGGAGTCAGTGGTCGTCACCGTGTCTGGCACACGACAGCGCCGCCATGAGACCGCAGGTCGTGTCCACGCACCTCCCGCACACCGTGGGAGGCGCGGCACAACAAACCGTCGTCTTCTCCGAAATGCAGGTCAGTTCTACATGGAATTTCCCTGTCACTGTGAGGTAGTTTGTTCTTATCGACTCAATTCCAAATGACAGCATCAAATGCGGTTTTTATTTACTTGGCTTCTGCTCTTTGCCCGTGTGTGAAAACTTTTCTGTCTTGTGCGCTTTGACATTTCCACTGGTGTTGAAACAATGCTAATCATAAAATATAATAAAATGGAAGGTAAATTCCCATGGAGCCCTCATCGCCGGAATTATTACGAAATATTTTTTAGATTGCTTATGAAAAAAATTGCTCGTCAAATTTCAGATGGTAATTTATTTCTAAATTAATAAAAAAAGATGCACCTACTGCACACTGCTATCACCGTTATTTTAATGAGCAAATACTTTCCTTGATTCTGCAGACCTTATGACCCCGATAGTTAACAGATGTAGCAGTGATCGGTTCTAACTGCGGCCTGTAGCGCACGCCACCACAGCTCTAACAGCGCAGCAATAAGCAATTCGTCTTATTGCTGATCTCGTGAAGTCTTGTCGGCCTGTGACGATGCCGGCATTAGCTAAGCTACCATAATTATCTTCATGAGTAACTTCAGGACTTGGCGGCAACTTTGTGCATTAATTACTGCCTTGCATTTAACTCTTAATAGAGTGCTTTGTGCAGCACCAGCAACCTGCTCTCTGACTGGGCGGTCTTTGCTAAGTTAGAATCAGCACATGAGGGCCAAACTTCGTATTACCTCGAATTTGTTTAAATTGTGCCTCACAGAGGCACAATTTACTTTTATTTCCTCAATCTTTTGAGACGCTTGAAAATTGTTCATTAGTAAATTTATCGTATAACAAATATTGAAATAGCTATCGCATAGATGGGGAATAACTAGATTCCTTTCGGATGGAAGTGTCAGAATTCAATGCTGCTATCTCAAAACAGAGAGTATAATATGTCAAATCGTGTTATTATTAAGCTGTTTAATGGATAAAAACCATTTTAAACTTTCGTCTTAATTGTTCGCATGGCTTTGCCATGATCTGAAAGAGGAACGAATTCTATGTGTTGAATTTTTCAAGGAATCTGGTTATGAGCAAACGTGATGTATTACCTGATACTTAGTGATAGCCTTTTGGTTTCAAAAATTGATTGAACATATATTGTGATAGATTTTTACGTTGATTAACGTTCGACCATGCTTTCTTTTCCTACGCCACACCCGCAAGCCAATTTGGTTCAGTACCTCACTCGAAAAGCCAGTGAGGCCCAGGACCTCACTCGAAAGGCCAATAGGGTTCAGGGCCTCACTCGAAAGGCCATTTGGGTTCAGGGCCTCACTCGAAAGGCCATTTGGGTTCAGGGCCTCACTCGAAAGGCCATTTGGGTTCAGGGCCTCACTCGAAAGGCCAATGAGGTTCACGGTCTCATGAAGCCCATCGCTCGCCTACTTACTCTCACCTCGGCCAACTTTTGTGATGGACGACGCTTGGCAAGTTCCTTGGCGACTATAGAGCGCCATGCCCTCGCCTACAGACCGGGAAGAAGGGATGCGTCCGGCCGGGAGTCACTCGTACTAACGAGTGACACTGAATATTATCAACGTGAATATGTTCTATACCTTGCGTAGACATCATTCATCAATCATCATTAATTTTCGCTTCAACTATCTTCAAATTTTAACAATTGTAAATGCAAATATTTCCTAAGTAGGATTACTATAACGTTGTAAAATCCCTCAGTTAGGAAACAACACATTTTGGAAGGTATAATTAGTCGAATTTATGACGGAATATTTTTATTTTTATTTGCGAAATAAAGCAAGCCTAGCGGAAGAGGCCTAAAAGAGCCACGCCGTTTTGTTCTCCTGTCCGTTGTGTTCACCGCCAACAGCTCAATGCTTTTAACGATATGAGCCGCCCTCATTCTGCTCCAGCAAAGTCCTTCTTATGGGACTGCAATAAAAAACCCTGCGATCGTTTGCTAATGGGTAGGTTTGTGCGGTGGCCATCGTCTTCTAAACGTGTGCTTTGCTCACGAATCCTACAATGAACTCTTCACTAGTTACCCCTGCATAATCATCGAAAGTGAGAGGATTAACGGGTGATGAAGTTGGCCACAAGCTAAGCTAAATTTTATGTCTGAGCTCCGTGACGTGGGTGCAAGTCGTAACTTATGACTGCGTGGGAATTAGCAGGGATCGCAATACTCGCGAAAAAACTTCGCTCTTTGTGTTTTAGAGTTTTCGGTGATGAAGCTTGTTTTCTCGATTCAACTTGGCAAAGAAATTTCGTCGTACCATAGCTAAAATCTCAATTATTTCGGAGCGTGGTTTTACGTCAGAAAATGGCACATTAGTTGGAGCTATAAGGTTTTTGTTCCATAACATTTTAAGGTTGAAACAATCGCAGGAATTTAAAATTTCTACAATACCTTTGCGGCAGTGCATGTGCGTATCATAGTTCTGTATAAAAGTTTGACTATACGTGTCTCCGAAATCTAAGCAAGCTTGAGCCACCTCTGTAACTAAAGCTATCTACATTTTGCAGACGTTATCTGGGGCCAGTGGAGGCCTGCTGGAGATGGGCCGTAGGTATAGGCCTCATCCGCTCATTAAGGAGGCAATTTGGTCGGGCCATTTATCGCTACCGCTAGAACAAAACATTGCAATTTACCGCCTCTCCATATTACACTAATGCCAACTTAGCTGTTTCCGCACCAACATTTTATTATTCTCTTGCATTTTTGAAAGGATTTTTATTTTTTGTGGGAAAGCCGGTGGGCATAATTCAGACCGGTCTTTTGTGCGCCTTGAGTCGCCTGAGCGCGTGGCTTTTATCCGGGCAAAGCAAACATAGAAATTAGCGACCCAGTCAAGCTGATGACGGACGGTGAGTCATTGCTACCACGGATGCCATGAGTAGAAATTAGCGACCCAGTCAAGCTGATGACGGACGGTGAACCATTGCTACCACGGATGCCATGAGTAGAAATTAGCGACCCAGTCAAGCTGATGACGGACGGTGAACCATTGCTACCACGGATGCGACGTGTCAGAGTGATGACGAACAAGGCGAGCATGGGTGATAAAAAGCGAAGCAAAGTGGGGTTAACTAAGTCCAAGACTAACCAAGGCTCTAACACTGAACCAAATGGCAACAAGTTTTCTAAGTTCCTTCTGCTCGACTTCCGTGCAATTTTGTTGGGTAATATTTATGAAACGTGTGTGTTGTGTGGTCTTGTGTACTGGGTTGTCTAGTGTCCTGGGTAGACTTGTGTGTTGTATAGACTTATGTGCTGCGTTGACTTGTGTGTTTTGTGTGTTGTGTGGATTCGTGTGTTGATAATCATCAAGAGATAATAGACAAATTTTGAACTCAGGCTAAGGAGACAAGGGGAGTTATGCAAATGCCCCGTGCAATAATGGGAGCTCAGCGATACACATTATAATTTTAATTAATATAATTATAATACTGTAATTCAATAGAATTTTTTGAGATTTGATAAAGCGCTATTACACTTACGCGGTGAGATGAAGAGTATCTGAGGTTTTGAGATTGTAATAGGTTGGTGATGGTTGGCGCAATTTCGGATGCTTGCGTGGATTAAGACCGATTCTGTTGAGCACTGTTGTTCAACCTTAAAATTTTCAGTATTATTAGAAAATGGAATTTATTTTAGTGGGCGCTTGCCATTTTTTTATCAAATTTTGATGAAATTAGGGGACAATACAATTTAATAACTGCTGAAAACAGAAAATTTAAGATTTTATTTTTAGTGATTACGAAATTCAGTTCTAAACTCATGCTTTGACAGTCAGATTTTTAGTCAATTAAATTTTTATTGATAATTTAGTATAATGAATGTATGATCTCAAAGTATTGGGAATTGTTTAAAAGGTACATTGTACCATAGATTTAATTTCTTAACTTTCATTATGCGGTTCCCAACTTTGCGGCATCCGCTCGACTAATCAAGTCATTTCTTCAATAAGTACTAATCTTGTATGGTTTTAGAGTCGAATATATGGTCATGACTCTCAATTCCTGATAAAGTTCCCTAAACTTCATGCTATTCATTTGCGATTCCTGACGCTAAAAATGGTTATTCATTTGTGAATAGAAAATGAGATAATTGTTCACGTTCAATTTACGAGGAGCTGACGGCATGATCAAATCGAGCAGAAGTTCGTTAGCCTCATTTGAGTTCCTCTCGTTGGCAACTTGCGTCGTTCTTTGGCTCTTGTCGAACAGTTATTTAAACTTTACTTCTATTCGTAACTGTGTCCACCATTTCCATTGTATTCTTCACTTTGGTCTTTGTGTGGCATTTCGTTGTTAGTTGTTCGCATGGACGGGTCATGTTGCAGTACGCCTTAATTATTACGATGTCCCAAATTCTGCTTACAAAACTCGTTACCAGGAATCAAGCATCTCATAAAAGAACCAGACACTAAAGAAGCCACAAAACATTATTAAATGAACTGGTAAAATAATGGAGCATAGAATATTCAGCCAAATGTCAATTATTTTATCTTTGCAACGACCGAGCTAAGGTTTGTTATTCTGGCGCTTAAAAATTACTCACTTCGTTATACATTAAACACATATTAGACATTTTCTATCCTAAATACAACCGATGCCGTGCTAATCATTCCAATCTATTTCGCTGATATATCATTGCTGATTGTTTTCATTAGATTGCAGACTTGTGTGTTGTCTATTCGTGTACTTTAATGTTGCACAACTTTAGTACGCCCGCTACTATATATAAGCTTTAATTTGAGAGAAATAGAAAAAAAATTCCTTAGAACCCATATGCAGCTGCTTTGTTGTTTTCCAAGCCTTTCGCTGGCCTTAACGTCTTCCTTCCCCTTCAATGGGGAAAATTCTGCCACCTCGGCGCGTTTGACTGGAGGCTGCAATCAGAGCCTTGATTGATAAGGAGTTAATAGGATTGCCATCTCTCCTGATTGGACCTTACGAGGACGCACTTTTAATGGCGCCTTTGTGTCTTGTAGTCTCTTTTGTGAGGCCATGTCTCGATTTTCTGCTACGTTCTCTAAAAGGCGAACTTTTGGGACTCATATTGTATCTTCTTTGACGTAGCTAGTAGAGCTGAGCAAAAGCAGCGTGCGTTTGTGTGTGTACGTCAAACCGCCAAAAAATTGTCATGAAAAGCTTCCGGCTTCACCCTTAAAATGTTGACTGTATAAATAATTTAATTTTTGAGCTGGAATAATGTGCATATTGCGTCACATAAATTGACAAGATTTCCTTGCCGACCTAGACGATTTCCTTGGATTGTATCTAATCCACGGACCTTGTACTCAGCAGGCGGATGACAGCAACGCTGTTCTACCTTTAATTTTATTGCACTGATCATGTCGAGCCATTTTATGGCTCTGATTGAATGTGGGCGACCGTAAAGACGCTATTAGCTCGGTCCGTTTGATGTTGCTGAGGGGGACCATTAGCCACGATACTAAAGAATTCTGCGCAACCTCAAAACTGAAGCTCTGTGAATAGAGGCTGTGGCGAGCCAGTCCATGTACGTCGTACACCGTCTGACAACGTCTCTGAGGTCGCTGCTGCCTCGAGTCTACTCGAGTCCAAATACCGACTTGCATTTATTAGATTCTATTTGCATATATTATTTTCTCGTGAGCTGGGTTTTTTTATTATTATAATTGGAGAAAATTTTTGCTTGCGAAATAATGTCGCTCCCAGCAGTATCTCGTTTGTGATGGATCCTTCTCCTTGGTGAGTCCACATTGGTCGCTGCAAAGCTCCAAATCCGGCTTAGAATCGAGCAAATTAAACCCTCAAGACAGTCACAGCACATCGTCGCGGCAGCCAAGGCTGCGGGTGCTTCCAATGATAAGCAGACTCAAAATTTTTTCGCGGGAACTGGCATGGGATGCCTTAAGTTGAGCTTTTTTGTAACTATTTCGTGCATTTTCATGACGTTTAGGAGTTTCCAGAGTTTCACACTGATAGATTTTATCAAGTCTGCTTGTATTTCTAAGGAAAACAGACATTGTATAATAGTCAATAATTTAACCAAATAATTTATGTACTTCTTATTTTCTGCAGGTGGTCCAAGAATCTGTTCGTATCCCTGGCAGTCGCGTTCACATGTTGTACCACTCTAATTCTGTGGCCGGCTACGCATCTCGACTCCTGCTCCAGCTCACGCCTGACAAAATACCAGAAAACCTCACTCGGGTGCACCTCAAGGTATTTCAAAAGTTCAACACGCTATTAGGGTATTTTTCGTGGAGCCTCTTAAATTTTTGTGCTCCATATTCTGAGTTTGGATTAGTAGTTTACTGGAGCGCAAAATAGTACAGATAATCAGTGATGTCTCATGCATGATGACTTAGCGATCTCGACGCATTCCAAATGCGATTTTTGACTCTCAAGTTTGCATTAAACTTTCCGTTGTGTTTCTTTCATCACGAGGAGGTGCTTCATAAATTTGGTTTCGTTTTTGTTTAGGTCACACTCGAAGGCACGGTGTTTGAGAAGCTTTTTGAGGCGGATCCTAACATCACGTTCACCTACACCTGGAACAAACGCAACGTCTACAAGTCTAAGGTGCGTGCCCGAACTCTTTTATCATATTTGCGTTTGTCAATACCATGCACTTTCATAAAATAATAACAGTTGAAAATATCTTGTATTATGTGTTATCTTTGAGTCGTATCAATTTTATACAAATCTAAACTTTCAGAATTGCTGTAAATTTTATGTAGTGATCAAACGTGTATAGTTCAAGTTAATTCCAACATTTATAAGCTGTTCATCGAATGATGGCTCTTGTATTTTATTCAATCATTTCTAACTTGTGTTCCAGATGTACGATGTGTCTATTGCCCGCGTCTCAGTGGGTTACGAGTACAACTCCTGCAGCAGCATCGTGTGGGTGACGCAAACTGCCCCAATGCATGGCTTCCATATGGCCATCTCTGATGTCGGAGGCTGGAACCTCGACATTCATCATATGTATAACTTTGAGGCTGGTACGTAGCAATTAGATATTAAAGCTAGGTCTACGTTTGATACAAACAATATTTCACAAGTTATTTCTTTTTCATTTATTGCTTCCTATACAGTCGTTAACAATATTATTTGCACAAACAAATTTGTGAATCAGAGACCCAACACGTCTTTTTAGAGCATTTTCCATTCTTTACTTTTAATGAAGCATGTCACAAAGTTCACGTTTGGTTGCTCGCTGGACAGGCATCCTGCAGCGGGGCGACGGGTCGCTGCTGGAGCTGGTGAAGGCCCCGCGGGCCATGAGCGTCCTCGCGGGGTCGGGGGCGAAGCGCCCCTTCAGCTGCCGCCACTGCGAGGGCGTCGCGCGGGACGCACAGCTGCTGGCGCCCACAGCCTTGGCCGCAGCGCCCGACGGCTCCATCTACGTCGGAGATTTCAATCTTATTCGCCGCATCACTCCTGACGGGAAAATCCAGACCGTGCTTCAATTGAGGTGAGATCTGACTTTCGCATTTGTAGGTATAACATAGGTTTGGTTTTTAGATACTTTAATCATTACGTAGATTTATTTTTTTAAAAAACATTTTTTATTAGACATGAAAGTTTGATAAAAAAATAAATTTTACCCGTCGAATATATTTATGTATTTATGACCAGTATTCATGATACATAATTTCATCTATAATAAATATGTAGTGATGCATCCGTCCGTCCTCTGTCATTAATACATGTCGCTTGTTTGCACTCTATTGCAGCGCGACTGAGGTCGCCTACGAATATTACATGACCGTTTCACCGGCTGATGGTCACCTCTACGTGAGCGATGCTGAGAATTACAGAGTCATTAAGGTCATAACGGTCGATGTTATTGATGACATTGCATCGAACTTCGAGGTGGTCGTTGGCAACAGTCACCGCTGCATACCGGGTGTGTCAACTAACTCTGATATACGAGACTAGTTCACTACAGAGCAGGAAAATATTTCCGACTCATTGTGATTGTGTTTGCCGAGTATTTTGATATGTATTTCCGATTTTTGTTTACTTTACGAAGTTTATCTGCAATCTATCGACAAATTTCTTTTCTCGAGTCATTTCTACACAGAGAACATTGGTCTTCCATTATGCCACTGAAATATGTAATTAATATACATACATCGAAATTTTCTTGAATATGGTTAAAATATTTCAAAACACACCTTATTTTGTCCGCACTGAAAGATCAATTTTTTTCTGACCCAGGTGATGAAAATCGCTGCGGTGATGGCGGTCCAGCTCTGTCAGCGCGTTTGTCTCATCCGAAGGGACTTGCAATTTCCGCGGACCAGACCATGTACATCGCGGACGGTCCGAACCTCCGTGTGGTGGACCCGCAAGGAACCATCCACACGCTCATCGGCCACCACGGCCACAAGACTCGCTGGCGACAGCTACCATGTGATGGTGTCGTCACCGCCAGCAGCGTAGACCTGCAGTGGCCCACGCACCTGGCGCTCTCGCCCCTGGATGGAACGTTGCACCTGCTCGACGATCATGTGCTCATGCAAGTCACGCATGACGGCAGGATTGTTGTTCGTGCTGGAACGCCGCTACATTGTCCCGCAACTTCCCTGCCTCCTGTTGGTGAGGTTGCACCTATCTTGAATTGAAATATTTTAAAGCCTATTGTTAATAATTTTTGTTCTTTTGAAAATGATTTGTTTCGAAATTAATACTTTCGATTTGCTTCTTTATTTAGAACTTGATCAGGTTAAAACTTCTGGTTTAGAGTGAAATGGCTTTTTCAGAGTTTTTTTCATAACTTCGCAATTAATTTTTTTAAATGAATTTTTCATATAACTTCATTTTTATTCAGCGACGCCTGCAGCTCATTGAAAAATAAAATACATACTCATTCATCTGATCTCTTTCTAATATCTCTTCTGATCTCTTTCAATACTCATTCATTCTGATCGATTCTAAATTTCCTATGGACAATTAATTTAGACAGAAATTGTAATATTTATTACGTTTTTAAACGTGCATCACTTTATCCAACTATTAGGTATGCATTTAATTAACATTCTCGGGTATCGTTTGAACCCTCAGGTTCCATCAGTGGCATGGCGTTCTCGCCGCTGGGTTCCTTGTATCTGGCAGAGCAGCGCGCCAACGGAGACTTCGCTATCCTCGAGCTAAGCTCTTCTGACCAACTGTCCGTCTTCTCCGAGCCTCCTTCGTCCCACAGAAACTCATCCGTACGTATAATTAATTACCCGTAGCTTTTTAAAGGCATAAGGAAACCCCCAAGTTGATGTTGCCTGGTCTTCGAGTTAGTATGAGACTGTGTATGAATTTTGTTCAGTAATTATTCTAATACGTTTTAACGGAAAAAGGCTTGTAAGATAATTTTTTTTAACAAAAGAAATTGACTATCGACTTGAATTTATGATGCAATTCTCACCAGTTATGATCTAAATGATTTTCTCATCCTTAATTATTTCACATTCATTAACTCCATTCGAGAGTTATAAAATTTGACTAATTTTTTCGTTATAATATACGGTGGCTATTATTCGGGCGCCTAGTCTGGTCAGGAATTCGTTAAACATAAACCGTGACAGAGTAAACTTTTTCTCTGCGTTTCAATTCTCGGTCCTCAAGTTTTAATCTTCATTGTGTAAATTCATTTACAAGCCACAGAATGCCACGGAGCTAATTACTTCATTACTTTTCCATCATAGAATTGTTTCTATTGAATGTGACCGATCCAGGACAAGTACATTCGAGAAACGCAAATGGACAAATACTACAAAGCACTTACGCGCTACAACATAGAATTATTACACTCGAATGTTACCACTGGGTTTATCACAGGGACTGTTTTATTTGTTTCCTTATTTTGTGCTTTGCGCTGCATTATTTCTCATGCATGTGCTGTGATCCTAATTGTACAGACTCACGGGAGCTGTCATTCGCTCTTCAGCCGCATTCTCGATCAGAGACTTAAGGTCACGATGAAGTCTCAAACAGAGACTTTCTGAAGTTTACATTAAACTCCCCTACAGAGAATTTTTAATGTTACATTGAAATTTCTAACAGAGAAATCTTAGTGCCACATTGAAGTTTAACAGAGACTTCTTCAAGTCAAGATGAATTTTAACAGACTTCTTTAGGTCACTATGAAGTCTTTAACAGAGACTACTTTAAGTCACGATGAACTCTCTAACAGAGACTCAGCTGAGAAATAGCCTTGAAATCACCGAGCTCCTTCAGACTTGCCTCACTTGTCTAATTTAGTGACAGATTGAAGGCCCGATCTGGAAGAGCGTCATTTGTTAAGTATTTAGACGGAGAGCCTCTGAGAGTTTGGTCTTGAAACATTTTGCCCTTCGTGCGCTTGACAGCCTCTTCAGAGTTTAGAGTTTTAATCTGGTGTTTTCCGAGAAAAATTTCTTCAGCCGGCCGATGAGGTAATTTAGCGCTGGCAAGTGTTCATTAAAGTTGGTTACGATTAAATGCTGAATTCTTTCCTACTTAATTGCGTGCGCTGGCTTGGCTCAGCGGAAATGCTCGATTACTGCGGATTAAATTCAGTATATTTAAATATTTATACCGTGAAGTATAATAGGAAAGAAGTTAATACTGTAAAGTATGGGGAAAGGAAAATGGTCACCGTAATAAAACATGTCTTTGAACAATAAATCAGATTTTAATTTCTATTTGATTTCGTTCCGCCATAACTTTAATTAAATCAGTTTATTTAATACCACTTTTTCTTGCTCCTTTCCAATCTGAGTGGTTATTGTGCATGTTATTCTCGTAATGTTAGTTAATTTTATGCTTAGATATAAATTATTTTATTTGTTGAAATTATTTTATTTGTTGAAATTATTTTATTTGAAATGCTGTCTTCATGTGATCTGACGCATGATAGCTTTTAATCAGCGCACTAATTAAGCAGTAAAGTGAATTAAATGAAGTAATTAATTAATTAAATGAAATTAAGCAGTGAAGTGGCCCCTCGAACCGACTGTTGGCTATGCAGGTTAACGTTACATCAGGCTTCTCACTTATGCTAGCTGCGGCAAGGTCGTGCATATATATACAGTTTAGTGTTCTGGATTCATGTTCAGTGTAGGCAAAACATTTTCATATGAAAATCATTGCATTTAGAGGATTTTTCTTCACGCTTTCTTCGCAAATTTAGATGAATTCATTTTGTATACAGTTTAATACATGATCATGTGATTTTGACATCGTATAATGGATAAAATAATTCACAAACAGGCCTTAAAGTTAGCCGTTCCGTTCGTTGGTAGTTTTGCAAATTACAAGAAAATCCTTAGGTCACAAACAAATGTGGTACCGCTGTTTCAAATTATGAACTTCACTTTCTTTAATCTTTTTTATTATCACTCATTTTATATGAGAAAAATTCGAATCGTTCTAAAAATTTTTCCTTTTCAAAAAGTAATTGGGAACGATGGTTTTATCGGCACCTGCACTTCAGTGACGGCACTAGAAGGATTATAAAAACCTCGGCTTTAATCAAGTGGATGGCTTTATTTCTTTCCGCTCTCAAGAGACTCTTTCTGCTTCGATAACTGCCTTTACTGCTCCGAAAACAAAGCCAGCAACCGTTTGGATTGCTGCACTTCGTAATCCAGGGGTTTGTTCTGGATTTAGCTGAGCGCTGGACCGAAGACTTGCCAAACGTGCCGATGTCGCACCTCTTGCGATCCGCTGCCGTCTGCTGCTGCAGTATCAAGAAAATAACAGCTCAATCTATGCCATATTTTTTAAGTCATAAAATTATAGACATCTAAAATAAGGCATCAGTACGAAGAAAAAAAATTGCTTAGAAATTACCTTTATTTTTAATTTCCTTTGTAATGTCTTCATTAAACTTTGTTAGGCGGCCGTTTAAAATGGTTTACTATTTCCATACATTCGCATTCCGTCTCAAAGATAATGAGTGAAGTGTTACGACCTTCCCTTGAAACTTAATTGTCAAGAGCCAAACGCTTTGCTGTTTTAATCTTACATTACTTCATTTAGGCTTCACTTAGAGTTTAATTCTTGAATTTTTAACTTGAGAATTGGAATAGATGAACTCTCTCGAGACAGTTTGATACTTTAGTCGAGTATGCGGACTAGCGATATTCCGTATTATTTTCATTATGTATAGAGTATTTTCTGTAGAAGTTGTTGCAGTATATTGGCTAGAGGGAGACGTTGTGCCAATATTGGTCGCTAGCAGCTAATTGGCTGAGCCGTGTGATGGCGCTGGCGTCACGCCCTCCTGTTTGTTATCAATCGCCCGCCGTAATATCCCAGCATCCTGGCCCTGGGTCGTGTAGGGTATAGCGCTGATCTCGTATATATTAATTCAACTTTACTAATACTGTGAAATTTTGTTTTTTATTCTATTGATGAAAATTTTGATAGAATGTCGCTAGAAGAACCTGTTTAGATTTGCTTTTTTATCAGTGCAACGTTATGAATTTACTACTACGCCTTAAAACGAAAGTGTTTAGTAGTTTATATCCTGACATGAACGTCAGTCACGAATAATAAGTTATATTACTTATATTTTCAGACCTTCGATGACCGTCGCGCTAAATATGTATTCACAATTGACGCTGAAACTTATGTTATTTATGTATGTAAAATGAAGTATGTAACGTTTCTTTGTCTCTGTTTGCCAAAGGGTCAGCTGTCAATGGGCTCGGTATCAGCGATCACAGCGACCCCGGACGGTGTGGTACACGTTGCAGACCAGGAAGCCTTGCGCGTGTACAGTTTCTACCACTACCTGCCTCAGGATGATAATAACGGCGACTATCTGGTCAGTCTTCTGTATCTAGTTTTCATTTATTATTGTGCTTTGCCACTAATTACGATTGAGACAGATAATTTATTCAAATATCTCCCTAAATGACGAACGATCAAAGTGGTTCTGTACTATTTGTAAAAAAACTTAATTATTGTTCTATTTAAATTCACTTATTCGTTTGATTTCTTGTCATCAGGTTGCCCATCCGAGCACCAACGAAATCTTTGTGTTCAACCGTCACGGCCACCACATCGAGACCCGAGATCTGCTCACAGGTCTGAAGCTTTATTCCTTCACTTATTCGAAGAACACGTCCGTAGGGCGCCTGTCTCAAGTCACTGACACCGCTGGCAATAAAATTGTCTTCTTCAGAGACTACAGATCAGCTGTCAGCCATGTGAGTGTCATCGTTATCAACGATGCCTATATGGCAAATATTTAATCTAAGTACCTGGTGTTTTTCGATCCGAATTACTTTAACATTGGAGAACTGGAAAATGTCAATTTTAAGTATGTATATATTTTTAAGCTGATATACATAGAGTTGAATTTTCTGTGCAGTGTTAAATTTTCTTGTTTCAATTCAAACTGTTTTCGTAATTCTGCATGATTTCAGCTCACGGTTTCCCCACTTGCACCAGAAATGAAAATAGGTTTCAAATATTTTCTTATAGCTTCAATAAATTTGGAATTCTCGGAACTGATATAAACTTTTTGATACAATTTTCCAATAAATAATCTTATCATGACATTCCTGGCAGCTAAATATATTTTTTAACTTTGTTTCAGATCGAGAACAGCTTGGGTGAGAAGTTCGCTGTTCACATCGGTCGGCTTGGCCTTATGACGCAGTTCGCAGGACGAGCAGGACAAGAGTGGGACTTCACCTACGACGAGGACACGGGACTATTAATCTCTACCACTCTACCCAGTAAGCTCTCCTCATACGTTTCATATGTTTACTTCCTGTCACCGACGACTACTGTACAATATTGTTTTCTAAATAATTCATTTACTTATACGTTGCTTACACAATTTACACAGTTCCTTTATAAAATAATAATTTTTTAGCTTTTGTGTAAAAAAATGGTTTGACGCAGTTCGCAGGACGAGCAGGACAAGAGTGGGACTTCACCTACGACGAGGACACGGGACTATTAATCTCGACCACTCTACCCAGTAAGCTCTCCTCATACGTTTCATATGTTTACTTCCTGTCACCGGCGACTACTGTACAATATTGTTTTAAAAATAATTCATTTACTTATACGTTCCTTACACAATTCCGTTATTAAATGATGATTTTTTTATTTTTTGTGTGAAAAAAATGGTGTGGTCTCGCGTGCAGATCGCCTGACGACGGCGTACCGATACGACGCTGCCGGACGGCTGGTGACGGTGGTCAACCCTACCGGGCACCGCACGGAGGTTCACTCGGACATGTCGCGGAGCAGCGACCATGAGACGAATCTCCTCAGCATCGCCGTCGCCAACCAAGACGATGAAATTCCCCAGCTGCTTTCTCTGTCGCAACGAGGAGACGCATACTTCTCTTATGGTGAGTAGCATTTAAATGGCGTGTAATTTATCTTCAAAAAACTCGTTCGATGCAAAGATATTTATTATTTGGGAAGAATGCGTTCGATGGAAAGATGTATTTATCTTGAGTAAACGCTCTCGATCGACATGTGTATTTATCTTGAAGAAATGCATCCTATCGAAAGATGTATTTATCTTGAAAAACGCGTTTGATGGAAAAATGTTTTATCTTGGAGAAATACGTTCGATCGAAAGTTGTATTTATTCTGAATATATATTGCGTTGGTAATATGTTTTTATTCTGAAGAAACGCGTTTGATGGAAAGGTTCCGGGGAAACATTTACATGCTTCCAAACTCCTCATATTTTGTTGCCTCAAAACGCAATCTTCTCGTATAGTAAATTTTAATGTATTACGAATCATCTTTGAGAAAGTTTGGAAAATTACTCCTGAAGTAAACGATGGAATCACCCTACCTTTTCTCTGTCGATAAATACGATAAATTCTGCAATGACCTTTCAATTTAAAAACAATATAAAATAAAACTCAATGAAGGAAAAAATAGTAAATTAACTCCCAGTCTTACGTTTTGCTCTCAATGGAAGAATTGGCTCAAAACGATCCGCATGAAAAATTGGTGCACAAATTTGTTGATGGATTTCACGATACTATTGTGAAGATTTAATAACTTGTGTTTCTCATGCACGAATAATGCTCTACTTATTTATAACGATATCGTTATGATTGCATGACATTCTCTACCGATCTGATGTAATCACTGCAGTCATCGCATCGCCAACTGACAGCTTTATGTGTGGGGCAGATTTTCTCTATATGGGTGACCCTGCTCGTTTTGTGAGGTCCATTCCCCAGAAAACAGTGATTTATTCACACGTAGAGCTGTTGCATCCGCGCCAATGGCTTCTCAAAGACAGCTTGCAATCCCTAATAAAGACCTTTAATCAGAACTCTGGCTTCTTATTTCATTCTGAGGGTCACTTTTTGGTACCCTTGTCCTCTCGAAACTCGACACAAGCATTCTATGTTATTCCTTCGGAGCCTCGCGAACCATCGATTGAAGACAGCCCGAATGCCGTACTTGGCTGAGATGTTGCGTGTCACTGACCACTCACTCATATTGTAAGGCTCAAAATAGCGGACTTATACTCAGCTCTAATTCGATCAGGCCGACCTGGCCCAACCGTGATATATTGCACAGAAACCCCTCTCTTTGGGACTCGAGCTTGTAACATACAAACTTAGCACCTCTCATTACTTCAACTCGCAAAAATATACGTATTTTCACAAAGTCTCAAGAAATTATTGTCCAGAATATTATTGGCATAACGGCCAGCTTTTCTTGTAAATTGGATTTTTATTCTTTCCTAATTTGGCCCGTATTGTTTTTGTATACTGAAGTTCGAGTTATAAAAATATAAATATGCGCCTTTATTCAATATCATTGTCTCTCTGGATTTTTTTCCGATGCGTGCTGATGCAATTATTAATAAAATTTTGAATTTGAAGCGAAACTTCGAACCGAGAATAAATCACGAATCAGAATTTAATTTAGAGGATTGATTGCATTGACGCGAGCGTGTCTCTCGAGCTACTGTCGGGAAGTGCTTGTCTTGCCGGGCAGGTCTCGTTAGCTTTGCAATCGATTGGCAATAATGGACGTGTCGCTGGACGAAAGCCGCCTGTCGCTTCACCAATTATTTTACCGGTGCTTGTTACTCTTGTTCAACACGTGCCGGCTAGAGCCAGGCTGCGGCCATGCTCTGTGCTTCCTCTGGTCGCACATGTTATGTTTGTGAATTTTTACTTTATCTGTCATGTTTCACGTTGAGTAACACATTTTAATTGCCTCCTGTTTTCTTTTTTTTATACCGAGTTCCAATCAAGTTTTTCTACTGAAGCCATGTTAATGATGTTATACAGCCTCCTTGTCTAGTGCTCTTGAAATAATGGCGAGTAAAGGTGGTTGAACTAGTTAGAATATACATCATGCAAACATTGAGTACCCTGCTTTGATTTTACATTTTTTTAGATTATTGCTTCTTCCTGAAATTGTAGCAGAGGATGCAATGTAACTCATTCTACTCATTAATCCCAGCCATCCTCCATTTGAGCTACCTCTTCCAGCTTGACTCTGAAGGAGTTTTTGTCCTCTTTCAGAGGACGATTGCTAAGTGTTTTGTCGTGGAGGATGTCATATTCCCTTTCGTTCAAAATGATCTTGAGGTTTTTCCTGTATGCGCATGGGTTGAAGAAAAAAAGGTTTCTCACCGTCACTTGCGGTTCTTGTTTCCTGGTTGGTCCGTTGACTCCTGCAGAATGTTGGTCCTATTAGTTCACGTCTTAATGCATCGTTTTTTTTTTTTTTGGAAACCTAAGCCCGCAAGCTCCTTATGCTGAAATCCTTTCAACTTGGCAATCCCTAGGCACGGTGACTCTTGCCAATACCAGGGTTGAGCAGCAATTATGTTGGCATTAATAAAGCGTAGGTAATTCTGACTTTTATTTATATTTTAATATTAAACATAGCTTATGTAAAGTTGTAAAGAAGGGGGCCGAGTGATCAATACTCATCAATTATAAACAGGATGTGACTTGACCGCAAAGTTGGGGTAGAAAACCGTAAGATCGAGTTTGTTTTTAGTTCTGAATGGCCGAGGGCATCGAAAGGGCTGATCCTAGTGGAATTCGAAACTGCCGCAACGTCCCTTGCTAGGCTTATGTGTGCGCGACGTCTGTCAATATATAAGGACCCTAAAATTCGCGCCAAAGGGTTGTTCTACTGCAGTGGTTCCCAAACTTTTTCAGGCTGGTTCCCTAGTGAATTTCTATCGCCCCCACAGAAATAAGCCTCTTTCTTGAAATTTAGTATGCTGCAATTTTAAAAGAGAAAGGTTAAACACAAATGTGTATTTCACAAATAGAACCCCATTTAGTGAACCAATATATTTTTCAGCTGTTTTAACTGTTTCAGCACTAGAAATCTAGGAGGTCACGGGTGAATTTACGGCCGGACTCGTGGCCGGTCTCACGACCAATCTCCAAATTTAATTATCAAGTAATATAATAATTCTCATAGTTACGGTCATCGTCAGTAGCGATACGGTCACGATCACCATCAATTGCAGAAGTACGGGAATGAGCTTGGTATAGCATCATCGACGATAAAGACTACGCCACTATTTAGAAGTACCGTTGTTATAAATTCTACGGCCAGACCAGCCGTGAGACATCGATTTGAGCATGGAGATTACGACTATGAAGACAGAGCGACTGAAAGGCGGACGCGGGGTTACGGCTGCGGTACGGCCGCAAACGTGCGTGTGAGATACGGTCGTTTACGACAGTCGTACTACTCAACGATACCGCAACGATTCAAAGTTTCTGGTAAAAGTAGGAGATTTTAATGATGTAAACTGATTCTCAACTTTGATTGTGTTCGGATTGCCCTTTTCCTGTACTAGAAATTTTTATTGACGTTGGATGTGAACTTGAATTTTCCAATTTAATATTAAATGTACCAGTGTTTCATTGCAACAATCCCTCTTTTACGATTTTTGTCGTAACCTCCGTACGAGAACTTATATGCGCGAATACTCCGAGTGAAGCCTAAGACGCAACGGTCGCAACCTGACTGAATTAGAGCAATTGCCGATCAATGAATAATAAAAGGATAACAATGAAACCAATCATCAATCATTTAAATTTTCATGACTTATTCAGGTGACTAAAGCAATGTTCAATGGTCGTTCTCTTGAAGGGCCTTGTCAATACCAGCTACTGAATTACTACAAAGTTTTTTTTTTTTTTTTGAAATGTAAGCGTTTTATTTGGTAATTTTTGTTCGTTGCTCAAGATAAACATTTGTATGTAGATCAACTAATGGTGGACTTATAACTCAAAAGCACCTATACCTAATGTAGTGGGCACATAGCGGGTAGTTTTTGAAGCTCGCAAAACTTAAAAAAAAAATTTAAAACATTGATTTTTCAATGTGCGATCGAACGGGACAGCCCCGTTTACTCAGTATTGGATAAAATCTGTGCTCTACAGATCTTTATTTGATCGAACTTGCTTCCTTTTTTGTTTTTTTGTGTGGAGGCGGGAAGACTTTTGAAACTCCGAGCGGCAATTTCGATGCCTGAGACTTGAAAAACTGCAGCACAATAAGGTTTTGTTGGGGTTAGGCAGTTTTGTGTCATGGATTTGTTTAGAAGCTAAAAATTTGCTGTATTGTTCTGCTCAATTTCGTACTCTAGTTTGCGATGAAATTTTGATCTATAAAAATAACATATCAACATGTTATGAAAATCTCATGGGTCTTTTTGGAAATAAATATTTGTTCCTTTACATCAACTTTCCAATTTTTCTATTCTCTTACGAAGCGAAATTTTCATAACTTCATGCAAGCTAGTTAAAGTTTTCTTATTTTTTTATTACTTATTTTTTCAAAAATTATACATTTGCCGTATATATCATTTGATAGCTGACACATTCAAATTATGTACGTAATATTTATTGAATGGCTCATTAATTAAACCTTTTGCGTTTAAACTTTAACATATTATTTAGGCTTAAAGTAAGGTAAGGAGCTTTAACAAAAGCAAAATAATATTTAGCTAAGTCATCATTAAGTCTTTTCTGCGAGCAAACGGCGTTGCGTGCTTTAATTTGCCTCGCGTGATGGCAACTCAGCGGCGCTGAGATTTGCATTCTCTCGATTAAATCGATGTACTGAGGTTGCATTTTATTTTGGTTTTATAGATAATAATTTCTTTGGAGACATTGTGTTTTTATGATGCTTAGATAATTATTCATAGGACGGCTTGGAAAGTTTTCCAGTGTTGGAGCCTTGTGCATTCAGAAACATATAGATAATGAATTAAATTGGGTTAAATATATGGAATTAGTTTTATGTTTGAAATTTTCGCACTTCTGAAATTTGGATGATACCTTCAACTAATGATTTTACTTTCACTTCATGTTCGAGTGAGTTGGTCACCCTCGCAGTCGCATTATGATTTCATAATTGCAATTTATTCAAATCAAAATCATCCCTGACATGAAAATCGTTGAAGGTTGACATCTCTTCATAAGACTTCGGTGAAGGAAGAGTTCAGTTGAGTTGCTTCTAGTAAATGCGTCATTCTATGCAAAGTGAACAGTTTTATTTTTTTATCGAATCTTTCAAACCCCAATTTATTATTTTTTCGTGAAGTAATAATTTTTTTACCAAACCAAATGCTGCTCTGTGAAAAAGAAACTTTCCATTAATTAATAGGATCAGAAGTTTATATATAGCAGCTGAGATGTCACATTACAACTGCAGACTCAATCACTGAGCTTATACGAGCTCTAGATGACTGCCGTCACCGCCATACTATTTCACGGGGCTCCCGAGGTCTATTAGCAGGCGCCCCGCAACACCAGAATGCCATTAAGGACTGCAGCAACAGCTCGGGAGTCGTGTTGTGGACTTAGCAGTTCCGAACGGCTTAAGTTAGTGCAATCCTGCTTTTAACACGATTTGCTTTTGGCTCGCTCGTCGACGTGAAGTGTGTTCTCCATTTACTCTATGTTTTGCAATAGAATGTAACTCCTAGCTACGATTCAAAAAGTACGTAGGGGAATTTTATTAGAAGTTTTGACGTAATTGCATTATCTAGATTCGTTTTGCGGCTGACGGAAAATAGTTGGATGAAATTAAATGGAATGAACGCCGTGCATTTATCTGAAACTTTTCTGTACTTGCGAGAGTTTTCTGAAGAAACTTTGGGAAAGAAAATAAAGCCCCGCCTTATTCTGCATATTCAACGACTTGCGGCTCTATTCTGCTTTTTTAACGCTTCTTCTTTTAGAAACTTGGTCGTTTCAATCAATCATGGAGTAAAGTCGTTCTATTTTTAACTATTTTATTTCCATCAAAAATGATCAGCGTTAATAAATGGAAAGAAAAAGTCAAGATGAAAGCTTAATATTACTAATTACATAGCTGAAAATTTTTAAGGAAATGTTGAGAATATATAATGTTTATTAATGACCACGTGAATCATGCTTGATTTTTTAACTGTGTAAATCTACGTCTGAAGTTGAACGCCTGAGTCTGATCTAGCTAAAAAAATTCTGTTGTTACTGATGCGGGATTTACTAAATAATAACAAATAAACTCTAAACTCGCGCGTAATAAATTTGAGCACAATAATTGTTCACGCGTATCATTTCTCGTTCTTCAGGCTCCGTTTCGTCCCACGTGCGTCTCGCTTCCAATGGGAGCTGGTCCCGCATGCTGCCCTGGGGCGGGACCGTCTCAGGGACCACGGTCCCACACAGTCCCTTGGTAGAGGGGATTCTCCCAGCACAGGCCGGGCTGTTGCAAGTCCCTTCAGTCTTCACGTTGTCTGCTGGTCCAGGGCTTCCTGAGGCAGAATTTACTGTGCAGTCTTCGCTTAAGAAGACTGGCGACTGGAGATTATTCGAATCTAAATACCTGGTGAGGATTGGCTTCTCTCAATTTGCCAATTTAATAAAGGTAAACAGAGCGCAATTTTTCGTAGTGAATTTATTCTTGGATCGAGATACACTGTTATAAAAAAATAACACAAAACTGTGTTAAAAATTTCGTTTAAAACTTTTCGCAGTAGTTCCTACATATCATTTGATATAGACTTATTATTAACATTAATGATTAATTTACGCACTTACATATACTCTCTATTCTCTTTACTTTTTCTATCATTTTACGTTATTACTTTCTGCAGATTTTGTAATGGAAAAGTTATGAAAATAAAATTTAATTAATTCATTCCACTCGTATCGCTTTGAATTTTTTTCAGTTTTAAATTGTTAACTTGAGTGTATGCATGTACACGTTTGTCCACTTCTCAGAAATAACTTCAATTTGAAGAAACTGTTCTACGGTTTTCTTTAAACAACCATCTTTTTATAATAAAGTTCCACATTGCAAATTTGGTAACTTTAATTAAAAAAAACTGTTCTATAGTCTAAGAACCATCAATGTAATATAAAGTTTCACATTGCAAATTTGGTATATAATGCATTAATATCTCGCATTCCCACATTCTGCAGCTGAACGGGACGGAAGTTGCCAGCTCGGTATGGGACGGAGCGTCGCGCGTCAATACGCTGCGCAACGGAGCCGCGCAGCCGCTGCTGCAAGTGGCATACGACGCGCGTCACGCGCCACACTCCCTCTCTCCCGGCGCTGCTCTGCCGGCCCTCAACATCTCCTATGACGAGTCAGTCGATAATTGCCTTTTGAAGTGCGACTAAATTAATATTGACCAGTTGTAATTATAGTATAATTAAACTATAATTGTTATCAAAATAAAAATATATATTTTATTATCATTCTTACAATCAAGTTGTAATTGTTACAATTTTAGAACTTTCTACCGTAAATAATGACGCTGTGTAGGATTCTGCCTCCCGCTACGAGTGCAGTTGATACTTGGACTCGTCTGATGAAGCGCAACAAACATGGATAATGATCAAAGTCCTTCTTTTATTATAATGTGATAAAAATTTTTACTAGAATGAGCTCATTGAATGGAATAATGCAGTGAAGAATTCAATGGCTCCTATGCTTACTAGAGAGCAAATTTACTTCTGATATTACATCATAAAATTCAATAAAAAATGCAGAATCACGACAATTTCGCGTGTTGGAGAATTTGCCACTTTTAAGTATGAGGAAAACGGAAATCAAAAAATTACCTCAGTAAGGCTTGAGTATATTATTTAGAACTGTCGAATTAGTATTACATCGAACTGTATACGTAAATCAGTTTACTCATTGACTGGTGAGTTTAATGTTTATTTATTGAAGGTCGTCCACGTGCTGAATTTGAAAAAAAAAAATTTCTTTCTAAAACAGCGAACTCGCATCGTTGTAGAAAAGTAGGTAATCGCTGTGGTTTTATCTTTGAACTTTGATACAACGAATGATCCTTCTTCTAAATCGAGATTATGTTTTTCAACTTAGAGTCGCTTCTGATTTCCTGTAACAAGTATCGCAAAATTGATTTAATAGACGCATCAAAACTATTCGTCCGTTGTCTATTTGAATATAACCATTACCAGCTTCTCATGGTTCACGAGCGAATGTTTCCTTTCTTTACCGGTCAACATTACACGAATTTTACTCAATTCCTAATTTTGGCAACAATGTTCACCTGTATTAATCAAACTTCAAAAGTATTAATAATTATTGTTATTTCTTGGGACCGTATTCATCCAATGATGTATTGGCACAAGGATGTTCAGCGTATCTTCCTATGGTGTCTCGGTAGTTGCGCATCCTCAGCTGCATATGAAATTAGCGTAAAGCTCAGGAATTGTGCGCTCGCGTACAGAGTATCACGATGAGCACAGCAAACGCATCAGCGAGGCGTGATAGTCAGATTTACTCCATCTGTATGCATTTGAGCTCTAATGGGAATGCAAATTTAATGGTGCGCTGCTGCAGGTCTTGAGCTGTCGCAGCATCATTTTTCTCTCCCTGGAGTCACGACGGGTGAATAATTCATCTGCTTGCGCATATTCTTCTAATTCATTTTGCACTGCTTATAATGGGATTCTACGCCGTAATATGTCGAGCAATGATAATGTCACTACAGCTATGCAACCGAGGCAAGACAAGGTTTCTCTCTCTTTCTCATTACAAAATTAATTATTTACAAGCTCTACTTCGTTAGCATTTCAATTAGAGTATAAATACATCAAGAGCGTTCACCGCATTGCATAGTTAATGAGAGAGTCTCGTACAGTTCACTTGAGGTATTCGGGTCTGGAACTTCCTACTCGACTCTCAACCTTCTTATCATCAATTTTATTGCACTCACCATTTCCATTCTGTTAACTGCCTCGAATATATTTCCTATCTTCAGGCAATCATTCGAACAAATCTTGAGGATTTTTCCTGGCGGGCATTTTATCTCGAGAGCTAAGTAGCAGCGAATGATCTCTGGTTTTAGTGCTGGCATTTTATACCCCAAAGGACGGAGCACCACGTCACGTTCAGCTGATCCATAGCACGGAGCCGTTGCCTGGCATTAGCATCGCGTGAGCGTTTTATGGGACTACTTATGGCAGTGTGCCAAACGTGTCTGGCCTAATCTCTGCCTTTATCACTTCATTAGGAGATCTTGCAGTGCTCCTTAGCTCCCAATGGTCTTCCTTCATGGCTAACAATGTCCTTAGTTTACATGCGTGATCTTGCCTTGCTACCGAAGATCTTAACGTTCCTGCCCGACAAATGGACTCTGAAATGTACCTCTTACCATGCACAATTTCTTTGGTCGAACGAACCTTTGTAATTTGATTGATTTTTGATCTTTCTGTGACTGCTGGCTTATTCATACCGGTATAAGTTATATATTAATATGATTGCACTCATTACTGAGCAAAAAATCAAAAGATATTTGTTTTGAAACTAAACAGATGGAGTTTTAATTAATTAAATGTAATTTAATTGAACTCGTTTACCTTTTTTTCTACCTAAAGTTAAAGAATAAATTTATCATTCAAAAATTATCATTACTGGGCACTGTAATTTGAATAAAGATGTTATGCATCAGCTTGTACGAAAAAATATTGGTTTTAAATTGCAAAAATTAAGTTTAACATGTTGATTGTGGAGCCAAGTCCCCGAAAAAATAAATTTGAAAATATTTGTTGTCCTTGAATGTAAGGCTTATAGGGTCATTCAATACCAGAAAATACAAGAACACAGAGGGCAAGTGTTTGCAAAAATCATACAAACTCTAATAAATGTGTAAATTGTATGCGTCCTGACAGGTACGGCCGCCGCAACGCGGTGCAGTGGTCAAGCCTGCGTGTAGGGTACGGCTACGACCCCTCCAGCGGAGTGCTCTCAACCGTTACGACTGACAACCATACAACCGTGTATTCTTTCCACCCGGAGAGACGGGTGAGTTTTTTATCTCAATATATAACGGTTTTCGTACAAGTTCTTTTTGTTTTGTACCTTGTATAAACAACGCTCGTTGTTTGTTCATACAACAAAAATTTTTACGTTTATCGCACGTTAAATAGTTATTTCGGTTGCTCTTCACTCGGACCAATATGTTCGTATCTATTAAGATTTACAAAGGATGCGCTTCTTTTATAGGTGTTTATTATTACTTTTTTCTTGTAACAGTCGTCCGCAACGTTTCGGAAGGGTATTCGTACTAAGGCAAAAAAAAAACGTTCTGGACATTTCATTTCAATATGAGATCTACGAGCGATATTTTCAAGCATTTGATGTTGTCGAATTATTTTTAAATATAGAATTAAATTTTTAGACAGCTTAATATTCAGTACAGTATATATATGCATTGTTTCGTCGTTGATTTCCACATAACCGTACGAAGTTAAAATAGTTACGTCATATTTTCTTTGTAAAACCAATGCAAGATATAGGCACCATGAGTCAATTTGATTCACTATAGAAGCTAAATTTAAATAATATGCGTTTAAATTAATTTTTAAAGACAACACTTCTAAAGAATATAGTGTTTCCGATGTTATAATACACATCTACAAATAATTTCTAATTTTATTTCCATATATTAAAAAATAATAATTTAAGAACTTTTTTTAATAAATGAAAAAATTTAAATTTTCAAAATTATTTATTGTGTCAATTGATTCATACAATGTCTCCTACTTTAAGCAATTGTGCGAAATTTCAGATCGATTAGAGAGGTAGAAGTGTGTTAAATATCGATTATAAGATTTGTAGCTGACAGACAAACAACAAGAAGTGAAGTTAAGGAGAAGTGTTGTAAAAATAACTTATTTCCCGGCACTCATCCAAGCTTCTTCTGGGTGCTGAAAAAATCCCCTTGATGTACTTTTAATCTTTAATTTAAGGGTTTTCATTATATTAAATGTTTCAAATGAATTCACCCGATCTCTGCTCGTGTAATCAATTTCAATCAGTAATAAGTTTCTCCTGAATTATTTACCCAAACTCTCATATTTTACATTTTTGCATCTTCAGCTGAATTCGATTAGTTTGCCGTCCGGTCGGACCTGGACGTACCTGTATGATGAATACGGGGGCCTTCGCTCCATCACAACCCCCGCCAGCACTGCGCACTACTTCTCTGTCCAGCCAATATTCTCAGCCTTCGTTTTCAAGTACACGGCTCCTGGCGCCACGCAGGCCTATAGGCAACACTTAGATTCATCTGGACGTCTCTTGCTTTCCGTTACACCGGACATGGAGTCAAAAATTTTGTACCGATACACTAGCGCGGGACAATTGGAAACGATCGTGTCTGGCGATGGAGTGACGAACTTCGTTTACGGCGAGAACAGTTTACTGTCTCAAGTGATGAATGAAGGTGATGAGCTCGAGTATAAATTAGATTATCTCTATGATGGTCATCTGCTTCAAGAAATGCGCATTGAGTACAACGCACGTGCGGGATTAAGCAATGTTAAATTTGCCTATGAATATGATGCCAACATGCGCGTCACAAAAATGTCCGGTCGAATCGGAGGGCAGAAAGTAAAGCCCTTGCATATATCCTACTCGCCCAAAACCGGCGTCGCCACAAACATTGGGAACTTCCTCTACGACGCTTCTGACTTCAATGTAACGATAATCCAAGACGGCACTGGCATCTTCACACGGAACCTTGACGAGCATTTGCGCGTGACTTACGTGTCACTAAACATCCAAAATATGCAAGTGTTTACTCAAAACATTAAATACGATGGCAGTAGTAGAATTTCTCAAACCACTACGTTCACATCAAGTTATGTTGTCAGGCCACTCTCATCAACCAAAAATTACACCTACGATGAAGACGGGCAACTCATAAGAGTGTCAGGAAAGGAACCCTGGAGTTTCTCGTATGATTCTAATGGTAATATGTTGTCCTTGACATACTCAACCAACACCATACCGATGAAGTACAACGAAGAAGATAAAATCTTAAGATTTGGTGAAGGCGTTTACAAGTACAACCTTCGAGGCTTCATTTCGCAGAACGCTCGTGATGTGTCGTACGAATACAATGCCCGAGGTCTTCTAATCCGAGCCGTAAAGCCTGAACGATTCTCAATTAATTATTTGTACGACCACGAACGGCGGCTCATCGCTCGCAAGGATAACTTTGGCAACGTCACTCAGTTCCAATATCAAGATTTCCGCCACCCTGACCGCGTGACGCACATCTACAACGCGCGTGACGCGAGCCTCACGTCCCTCATCTACGACGACAGGGGGCACCTTATCTTTGCTCAGGTATGCAATGACTGTCTTTGAATTTTATGTAATAATTGCAAATGAACAATAATTATTTTGATCATGTTTTAATGCATTGATAAACCTTCCATTATACTCTATGTTTACTCTTGTCTCTAGATTAGTTCTCTGGCTTAGTATTTTGATTGTCATATAAAAAATTTCTCATTTCGTCTTTGTAGATTCAACGGAATCAGTACTACGTAGCGTCCGACCAAAACGGCACTCCGCTGATAATCGTGAACAGATTTGGGGAGGTGGTGCGCGAGATGATGCGCTCTCCTTTTGGTCAGATTATTTACGACAGCAACCCTTACCTTTACATTCCCATTGACTTCTGTGGTGGCATTCAAGACTCTCAGACGGAGCTTGTTCATCTTCCTGGAGGCCGAGTTTACGATCCGCTCATTGGTGAGCATTTTCAATGGATGAAACTTTAAATTAACTTCGATCCTTCATTTGCTCCGGTTATTTCATGAGATTCTTTTCTAATGATCCTTTTTTTTTATTTAATAACACATTATCGTATTTGAATTTTTTTAATCATTTCAGTTAAAGAAAATTGAAAATTTACAGATGTGTAAAAGCTATTTTATAATAAAGTCGAAAAAAGTTGTTATATTATCTAAATTAGCCATGATTTGTGAAATTTTTTTAATTATCAATTGGTTTATCAATATCTCTGTATCCGATTTTTAGATATTCTGTCTTCGTAATCACAATGTTTGCTAATGATCTCAGTGCATGAGATCACACTGCAGAGTGCAGATGTCTTAGATTATTCCGAGAGAAATAATCCATGTCGTCCTACTTCTCATGGCTCATCAGTTGCTAGTTCTGAGTTGAGCGTGTCTCTCTCTTGGCAGGTTTATGGCTAAATCCTCAATGGGAAGACATAGCGGAGAATCTCTTGCAGCCTCAGCGGCTCTCGCTGTACAGGCCCAACGCCAACGATCCTGTTAACGTCAACAGACGCACCTGGGACCAGCTCGGTGCGTGCCGTTGGCTGTAGCTTCATTTTTACGAAATTTATTGTTCTTATGCTAGTTCGCCAAAAACTTACAAAGTTTTGAATTTTTAATCGTTTGTGCGTTTCGTTTCATTCAATTTATTATGTTACACAAAATAAAATTTTTTTTGAAGGAGTTGCAAGTATTGGTTTTCTAACTGAACTTTGTCGTATAAATTTTTACTGCACATGTTTAAATTTTGTGTTTATTCATGTTTCGATCAGTTAATTATTCTAATTTTACGTTCCCCCTATCTTTATCTAGACAAACCCGACTGGTTGAATCTTCTAAATTTGGACTTGGTAAGCCTTGCGCCTCATTTGGGTTGGCCCCGGCAATCGTCATTTGCGCCAAATGCCAAGCATTTGCCGTCAACCGACAACCTATGGGACGCGTACACAATGTCGCCTTTCAGCGACACTGGAGTGCGTCCGTATGCCGGTTATTTGCGTGCCGGTTTGGACTCAACGTCGCGATTAATGCAGCCGAGGTGGCGCAGCGCTCGGTCGCAGTTCTCCCAGTTCGTGGCTGAAGGAGGCCTCTGCATCAGCGGCTTCGCTGAAGCGCTTAAAGAACCAACTGACAGCGCCATCGCTCTTGATGCTGTCAAGGTTTCCGCTTTGAAAGAAGACTTTTGGCCGTCCACTTATAAGGTAAGGATTTATTTGAGCCATATTTTCGAGATGAGATATCGTGCATTCTTATGGAGTTTGGCGGGCTCTCGTTGCCCTATATCCTACCTCTTAAAGATTTTTCCGAGGTTCAGCTATGTAAATCACCTTACTTTTGCAACGGCTGTGTAATACGACTTTGCTTGTGTCATTAATGAGAAAACTCTACTCTTTTCTTGAATCTTTCCCTTTTTTTGGAATAATATCTAGTCTCAAGAAGCTGCCGGTGTTAGGTAACGATTATCGACAAAATCCTCTCCAAAACTTACTATATTGTCCAATACCTGGGCTTGGAGTAGAAGTCAGCAGCCTTGCTTGTAGCACTAGAGCGCAACGCGCGCCCAATCCTTGCCTTCGGAATCATTGACTTTCTTTGCAATCAACTAAGAGCTTTCATGCGGGTTTTGCGGCCCTGTCAATATTTGGAAAGCGAGCGGCTTTAATGCTTGGCCTTGGTTAGCCTTGGAGCGTCTTCTCCTTTTCTACCTCCCATTCTACTTCTGGGTTTTTGTTAGCTCGACGAAAGCTGCTGGTATCATCTCATGGCTGCGCGATATTGCTACAGCCTCCTGCCTCGCGGCTCTTTGGCCGCGGCCTCGGCAAACTCCTGATCGAAATGTCCGCCGGAGTCTTGCCCTGGGATCAATTTTGAGCTGATGGAGCGAGATTGTCTGAAATATCGAGAAATACTTTGTGCATGTGACTATGATTCTCAATTTAAATGGATTCAATAAAAGCGTAATACAGTTATACGTAACAATAACTTTCTCATTCATTTATTATTTAAGTGTAGTCTATAGCTGCACAATCAGGTGATTGTCCATGGTTATTGTCCCTTTATAGCATTGTATCTTTGCCACTTATATGCCACTTCCGGTGGTAAAGTCCTGCTGCTAACTTGAAATTAATCTAAAAAATTTTCATAACTTTCTGTGAAGAATATTTTTCTCACTTGCAAATTCAGTAATTAATTTAAAATTCATTTTATCAACAAAAATCCTGTGTCGTGAATCATTGGTGTATTTTTCTGTCAAACTAACGCTGAAATTCTGATCGCCCAGTACACTTTTCTAGTCTATCCTGGGTTCAAAACTCATGAAAGATAAGGTCTTTTGTTTGTTTTATGTTCTCCCTCATGATTTGTGCATCCTGCATATTTTTACCGAGGTAAAAGTTGTGGCAGAATGTTTCACTTGGACAAAATTCTTACATTTCAAGTCTAAACGCCCGTAAAAGAAATAGCATCCAGTGCTTTAATTCACATAATTTTTTCGTAGCACGGCGACTGCGTTCATTGCTGAAGATATGCCAGGGCCGTAGCTTTAGGGAAACTCTAGCATTATCTGCCAGTCGTTTAGGAGAAGCAAGCCCGACACACCACAGATTTATGCTAATGTCACCTCGGCGACTTGTGGCATTGCAGATAAAAGGGGAAAAAGTCCGAAAATATCACGGCTGCATGTTGCTCCCGTTGGCTGGTTTTTTCCTGGCGACATTCATAATTCAATCTAAAGATTATCTTGTCTGTTTGAAACGAACTCGAGTCCCGGATTGCAGCCGCATTTATACAAATATATTTCATGCAATTCTTGTTTGAAGCTGTCTTTTCACTTTAGTAAATACTGTTTGTACGGCATCTCATTCACTTAATTGAAAATTGACCACTGGTCCAAAAAATTTCGTATCATGTCTCTTTGACACCACCTAATTTTTCAGGCTATTTTACTGAGCAAAACTGAACTGCAAATTGACCAAAAAGTAACTGATATTACTAAGTAACCCACCAAAAATAAAACATTTTCCCGTCATCTGATCTGCAAGTGTGAAAAAATCTGGAACTATCAAACCAGTTTCAAATTCCTACTTTACTCTATATTGGCGCTTGTAAATGCAGATTCTACTCAACGTTTACAATGCAGATTTTTTTTTCACTTTACCCAAAACAATGATTGTCCTTTTTCCGCAAACAAAAATTCTTCAAATTATTTGATTTAGGTAATGAAATTCTTTTTTTTTTTGTCCCATCAGCTGGAGATCTCAAGTACGCCTGGGCCGTTTGGCGAAGGCTTCCTTGTGTCGCGCGTGGGCGGCAAGGCTGTAATTACGACATCTCCCTCCGCTAATCCTATCTTCAAAGACGTCGTCTTATCAGTCTTCAACAACTCTTATCTGCTCGATCTGTCCTTGTACTCCCACTCCGTGTATTCCTTCTACTTTGTCAAGGTTAGTTATTGATAATCGTCTTTGTCGTCGTCATATCTGTAATTGAACTGTCCATTAAAACTGCATAATTTATCGCTTTTTACGAATATTTCTCGTACTGCCTATATTTTTCATATACGTTCCAATATTGTCTCATAATTTATTTCTAATTTTTTCCGCTGATGTTATTACATGTTATGATTCAATATATTAATAATATGGCTTCCATTTTCATGCTTTTCATAAAATTTGATCTCTTACTTTTTACTGAAAAATATCAGCTCTGGTGAGTTCACTCATCTTTCATTGTGAGATAGAAATTCCAGACAGCTTTAGGCGCATATCACCATTAATCAAATCTGGGCCCTCTATATTCATTTTTTGTTTAATTGACCGAGAATAACGCTTAAGTTAAATTTTGATGAATAGGACGAGCTGTGGCGAGCTAAGGAAGATCGCAATCAATTGAACCGCTTGGCTGGCGAAGTAAACATTACGCAGACCAACGACAACGGCAGCGAGAAATTCATCGACATAAAACTGCGCACAAAATACGCTCTAATTCACGTCCGATATGGCACCAGCCCTATCCTTGAAGCCAAAAGAATAATGAAGCATGCTAAAAAGGTGAGTCAATCATAAGTTATGCCTTCATTCTCAATTTACTTCAACTATTTCATATTTGAATTGCATGACATGCTTGAAAATCAAATTATTTGGCATTCAACATTTTGAACATCTCTCACATCTTCCCGTGTTTAGGAAAACGCATCGAACTTTTGTCCTGCAATTTTCTCCAGCATTTAAACTTTACTCCAAATAGAACAAATTTTAAATTTTTTCAATTTACCCTGCCCCACGCGCCGTTACGCAGATGACGCTGCGCCGCGCGTGGTCTGACGAGCGGTCGCGCGTGAGTCGCGGCGAGTCCGGGTCCGTGGCGTGGACTCACGACCAGCGAGTCGAGCTGCTCACGCAAGGCTCCGTGGAGCAATTCGTGCCTCGCTACACGCACAACCCTGAGCTCTACCCTGAGCTGCTCGACGACCCCAGCAACGTTCAGTTTGTCCAGGTTAGATAACAATAAAAGCGAATTTGTGTCTTCAGTGTTGGATGAAGTATAGTTTGTCCAGGTTAGATAAACAATAAAAACAAATTTGTGTCTTCAGTGTTGGTTGAAGTATAAGTTGGATGAAGTATAGTTTGTCCAGGTTAGATTAATAATAAGAAGATTGATATTAAGAGCTCATTTCCTGTTAAGTGTTTGATATGGTTTAGTATTTTCAGGTTAGATTGACACTAAGTAGAATTTTTTGTGTTTCAAATTCCGTATTGGATAATATCCAGGTTAGATTGACTATAGGAGCAAATTATTGTATTCAGTGTTGGATGAAGTTCATTTCCTTTAAGTTAGAATATTTTGAAACAATATTTTATCGTTCATACGTTCGAGTATGTCTAGGTTGTGGAATTTGTAATGTAAGATTGTATTTTGTTATTCTGTGTTTAACAGCGTCGTCTGTTCTACGATGATCTAGAATAATGAGGTGGACCTTCATTATACGTAGACACATAGTTTGATGGAACTCGAATTTATTTGGGTCTAAAACACATTCCAGTCTTGTTCCGAAGGGCTATCAAAGCATTTCCCGATCTCCTTTCTTCGATGAAAATCGGCTCAGGCTGCCTTCCAGTATCAGAATAGAGCTTCTCTTTGCACTTAAATGCAGTACTGTCGTAATTTCAATCTGAACTGTACCAAACTAAATTAGCTGAAGGTACCAAGCGCGTAAAATAAACTTCTATCTAAGGTCTGGTTATCGTTGGACTGTTTACAACTATTTTCCTCAATATGGAAAACTTCTAATCAAATATTGGATCGTATCCTTTCTTACATTTATAAAGAAAATTTACGGTTTAGATACAAATTCATTTCAAATATTTGCAGTAAAAAAATATGTTCAAACGCTAACGCATTCTCGCATAAAATTTCACAAAGCTTAGCTGTGAGAATTTCTTTGGTCAACCCATTTCATCAGTATAACGGCCATAGTTTGCCTAGGATCATTTGAGATAACTTTAATGCATTTACAACGGTCTTCAATAGATTTTACGAGTTTCTAACTCTGCAATATTGCTCCATATATGTTTTCCCATGCCTCGCAGCTAATATTACGTCGTATGTGTTCGACAGGAGAACAAGAGAAGCAGACGACATTCCACGAGATGGCTGCGGTGTTGGCACCCGCCTTGCTAGGATATCCTGAGTCTATAGACCTGCATTAGGATGTAACAAATCTTATGAAACCATCTTATTTCTTCTCTTCTGTTTGTCTTAGCGAATTCTGTTGTATTTTACGTTTTGTTTCCGTGTTAATATTTTATTTCCGCGTGGATGCTTCAATGTAAGGCGGGTAGTCATTGTATATCGCCTACTTAATGTAATGTTAGTAATGCAGCGAGAGAAATTATCTGATTCCTTGTCTTTTTATAAAATATGTTTCATGATGATACCAGAGTGATGAAAACAATAGAAACTAATTCACAAATCAATAATTTATATGTAATACTTGAGGATTCAGACCATCATAGTCGCGAAAATATCTGGCAGCATCGATCACCTGTCCCTAGTCCACGGAAGATGCTCGCCGATTTTGACTCATATTTACGCGACACAAAATATGCACAACTTATCCCGCTACTGTCGTGTGCAAAAAAAAAACACCAACAAACTTATGGCTAATATTAAAATCCTGATACGAGTGCCATCCCTTCTCTATGTGAACAATCCTCAAAGCTCCTAACAAAGCAATATGTCATTTGTCGTTGAGAAGCACCTCGATTCAAAGGCTTCTCAAGGAGTTTTTTGTTTCCTCACTAAATTATAATTTGAAGCAGAGTTGTTCAAAATTTCATGATAGTGCAACTTTGATGACATTCATCGAATTGGGATTCTTCGCTCGTTTTTCAGGATTTAAAATTTGATTCATTGTCTCACAATTTATTCACTTGTAGGTAAAAATTACTTTTTTTAAACGTTAATTGCCTACTGGTGGCATCTGACAATAGCAAGAATCTTTAAATATAATAAATAGCTTGAATGTTTCAAGAAAATTTAGTGATGGAGGTAGCCACTTCCCTGTACAGGAATTTTTTTTTATAAACGTTGTACATAAATAGTGTTCATACTAATGCGGAGCCCCGTGTTAAATGTTACTGGCATCTATGTGATCTATAATATTTAATGGTGAATTAGCTCATACGATTAATGTAAAATATTCGTGCAAGGCTTTGGTTTGGGCTTAGGGACGCTGTGTGTAATGACCTGTATAGTATAGGCGCTTCAATTCAGAAGCTCGTGTGCTGAATCATCCTGAAAATTGGAAACACCAATCCGAAAATGCAGATAAAAATTGGAGGCGCAGTAGTAAGCTGTGGTTTTCTTCGTTATTATTCTAAATTGTTTCGTACTAAATCTAAATATTGATCAAACACGATAAATTTGTCTGTGCTCCATTAGGGAACTAATTTGGCGTTCTTAGCCTCGCAGCATCAAACTTCATTTTTTTCTATGTCTGAAAAAGATGCAGTACATCCAGAACGAACTGCTCGTAATTGCAAAATAAAGCGGTTTTTGTTTTTTATTTAATTGAAAATCGTCAAAATTTTCAACCGCCTTCCGTTATCAATAACATTCACGATATATGCTCGCTTTGCACTATTTCAATAGTTTCTTTTAAGTTCATGATGGTTCCAATCGTCTGAAAGATTTTGCATTAAATATTTTTCAAAATATCGTACCAAGTGCAATATCTTATGTTCGATGATGATGCTTCTGCTTAATTATTACCAAAGTTGGCTGCATACATTTCGTGGACGACGACGTTCATGATCATGTCTAGGTTTAGGTTTATGATAAGTGGATGTGCCAGAAAAAGTGTCTCATAGTCACTAACAACTAGCAGTTGTACAGAAACCTTTTAGCTCCCTAAGAAATTATCAATAAATCCCGTCTGTCTAAGAAATCTGGTTGAATTGCACGTGCCTCCAAGTAATTCAAGTTATCTTTTTCTAACGCCTGACATTTCTCGTATTTTTCGTAAAAGGAACAAGTTTTCAAGATGCAAGAGTAGCCCATTTTTCTTCTATTTCTTGAGAGAAATTGCTTCTTGTTTTTGGTTCATTTCTTCAAAAGTTTAATTTGTGTATTGTAAATTTTACGTAACATTAGATTATATCAATTATAATTGAACGCTTAGAACATCAATGGAAAATGTTTAGAATGTTAACAGAAAATGTTTAGAATATTAATTAAAACCCTTTTGTAGCAAAATTTTGGAGAGATAAATATCGGATAAGTTCGTCAGCTAGTCATTTTTTGCGTTTTATATGAACTTTTCTGATTGGATTATAAGGCATTTGAATAAATATTTTAAAGTTTGATTTGATAAGTCGTTGTTGTACAATTAATTCTCTCATTTGCTCGCTTTATACTGGATTCAAAACGACTACAGACACTTTTGGATTCTCTGTTTTTTATCTTCTACGTAAATGAATTTTACATTATATCAATAAAGTTCATAAAACTGATAATGTTTTAGAATTTTACGTGCTAAAACATGGGCATTACAAAAATACTTTTTAACGGGCAAAACCTACGTTCCATGTGTTAGCTACAATCATTTTGAGAAATTTCCCAGCCTCCTGGACTTCTGATCGTTGAATCAACTTTAAGCTTTAGCGAAATTTCAGCCAAAAACTTACATTTAAATCAATTGGATTTTTTTTCTGCGTGCCTGAGAAAACGATTTTGTAGCCTTGCATCGTTTTATCGGAAATTATTTAGTACGATTCTTTCTCTCTATTGATGTTATGAACATAGCGCATTGCAAGCAAGCTCAAATTAACTGAGTTTTCTTATCGATTTGGCTGATAGTTTAAACCCCTTTAATGTTGTGCTATGTCGGATTTACGGAGCGTTTAGTAGAAACCCTTTAGTTAATAAGCACTAATGTTGTCGTTTACGGATTATTTTTATTTGATGCGTGTACATTGATTTCCTGACAATGACTGTACATAAGGGGACGGTAGGTAGGGCTAAGGCGGCTGCACCTTAATACAAGCACTACACTGTGCAGGAGCAAGGGTCTACAATCTCTCATTATTATTATTTGTATACATGGAAAATGTTTTTTATTTAATTTACATGCAAAAAGATCAATAATGCCATTGTTTATTTTCTTTTACTGTTTCCAATCTTTTAGTCCTTAAATTTTGTTTTGGGTAATCTGTAATTTTTTAGAATCATTTAAATTCACTTTCCATAGTAATAAATCCCACTCAAATTTATCGTAGTTTCACAAATAAATTCGTCGTTCTTTCATCATATTTTCAGCAATAATATTTTTCCAAACTCTTAAAGTCGTATCATGAAAACGTTCAGTCGTCTGCATGTTTCCTCACATTCGATGACCGTATTCAGGTTTTTTTTTATGGAAGTCGATACGCCCATTCGCTCCGTATTTTTTTCGTGGTTTGAAGGAGTGTCGGGACGGTCAAGACAAACTCAGTTAGGCTCACGCTCCTCACGCATGAATGTTTTATAACCGGAAATGTTTTTAATAAAAACCTTATTTTTCTTATCTATGGTCTCATTTACCTTCTAATTAAACTAACGACATTAAGTGGTTTCTGGAAATTGTGATGATCGGAAATTTGTTATCAGAGCAGTGAGAAAATCACCGAGTAGAATGACTGTATAAACTTCTTGATTATTATGGTCTTTTAATCCACATTATTTACTCTTGGAAATATTATTTAGAGGATTTTGCACGTTAACAACAAAATTAGATTTGTAGTTAACTTTAAGTACCGTACATTAGGGCTTCTGCATGATATCGACCAAAATGGTTTCGAGGAGAGAGTATGAATAGATAAAATAGCATATTCGTTAGAAAACATTTTCAATAACTTCTTGCTTAAATTTTCGTACAGAAACTAATTTCGCTAAGAGAGGCAATCAAGAAAATTCTATATGGCGTCCTGTGTCCAATACAAGTCATGTCAGCGTCGCCATGTTGCCTTACGAGCACTCACGGTGCCGACCTCCCTTGATTCGAAACAAAAGGTCGCAAATTTGAAAATGGATTCTATTGATTCTGTTCGAACTTGAAAGGCAAGTTGTAAGGGAGTAGATGTGAGGGTTGAATCTGAACGCTGTTTTGAGCTCTCAGGACCACCGTCACAGAGGTTAATTTTGTGTTATAAGGAAGGGAGAGTGTAGCTGCTCTAGCATAATGGAGGGTTAAAAAACTGCGCTGTCACGGACATTTTTACTAGGGGAAAAGTAGGAACTTCTAACCTGATTTGCAAAAGAAAGTGCAAGGATCAACCGTTCGCTTACATCAATCATCACAGCATGGCGAACTATTGTACAAAGACTGAAGCACTCGTACAAGTGCTCATCCTGAACTCTGCAGACATTTATCTTGCAAGTATCAGCAAAGTTTTAGTTATAGATAGAGAAAGCATCTTGATGAAATATAGTAATTGCGATTTTACACTTATTTGATACAGAAGAATGGCAACAATCCCAGTGACATTTTGATCATAAAATTATGTAAACTTGAGAAAAATGAATGAGTTTAGACTAATTTTTCAGGGCTGCGCAGCTATTTCTTAACAATATTCAGCGATGATCAACAGCGATAATCCACAAAAAAATGATCTTACCACACATTTTACAACTATTTTTTATTTGTATTTTCAAAAAACAGATTCATTGTGGAATTCTCGCTCCAGTATTTATGGCTGAAAAGTATTTTGTTAACAACCCCTATGAAATATTCTGGTCCTTAGAATTCAAATTTTCCTTTGCTTGATACGCCAGTATGATTTTTAAATGTTTTAGATATTAAGAGCAGTAATTTTCTTATAGAAGCTCATTTTACTCTCTTAATACTGAAATCCATAGTGATACTAATCCATGGCTATCAAAAAATTCCTATCACGGATCTTGCCAGAGGAATTAAAAAAAAACTTGAGCAATAAATTTAAGCCAATTCTGCTTTGTTTTTGTTAAATCAAACAACACTTTCCACACGTGGGAATTATCTCCAACATCGATTCTACTGTTCTCAACTTTTTGAAATACCGCAATAAATAACATACATACACAATTTTTAATATATACCAGGAAAACTTTTATTTAATTTGTTTAAGGAGGAAAGAAAATTTGAGATTTGTTGTGTTTTTATAACCTGGCAAGAAAATATTGGATGCGGTGCACCTGCGCCCCTGTCTCTTGTTTATGGCTGCGTCGTCGGGACCTTCGGTGATTTTACGGCCGTCGTTCAGGCGCCAATGCCAAACATTGCGGCCTTAGATCTTTTTTTCTGTATCTCGAGCGTTGTCTTCGATTTATGGTCATGTGGTGCACGTCGATTCAACAAATTTCTTGCAGCCGACCACCGTTAAGAAACACTAAAATTTATTTACTGTCAACTTTTCGAATAAATCGATCTCAGAGACTAGATCCTATTTTGTTATGTCTCGTTTGCAACACTAAAGATATTCACACAATGCATCTTGTGTTCTAAAATAATGAGATTAATTTTATTTCTGAGAGCATTGCAAACGTACCGCTCGAAACGACATCCCGCATGTTAGCCCAAAGTATTATTTTAATTAAAAGTATTTTTTCAACGTATCGTTTTTTTCATTGGAGACAATTTCAAGACATTTCAGTTCTTTTTCTAGGTTGAGGGTTAAGGTGTCGTTTAATTTATGTACAAAAGAAACAACCCATATTTCCTGGTAATAAGTGCTAGTAATTCACAATATATTATATAAAGTACTTACTTCACTCGTGCACCAAAATTTTTATTATGCTGTGGATCAATAAATTTAAAAACATAGTTTGTTATGGGTTTTCGGGGATATTCAGCCCTCGATTGTGCTCCTTTCTGATCAGCAAATAAAAGTTGCCGCATTTACGTTATCTTGTGCACACGCGCCCGTCATGATCCCTGCCGTCACCCTGAGACTCGTCTTCTTTTGTCGCCGGCAACGACTAAAGCAAGTCATTTCTCAGCTACTTTTTGCCTCTTTGGATTGTTGGAATGGAGGGTCATAACAATTTCTGTTCTTTAAACATAGGGTCCTAAAAATTTCATGGCGTGGATTACGAATGGATTTTCCTCTCTGTTCCTGGAAGCTTCCTACAACTTAATAAATTAGAACGATCAAATTTTTACTCGGGTTCAGATAACTCAAATATTTTTGCTAGACCCTTCAAGAGCAACGGCTCTACTCAGGCACCGTTAAGTGGGATTTTGAATGTTCGGTCCTTTCAATAATCCTGGAAAGTTTGAATCTTGATCTTTAGCTTATTTTTTTATACTATTCTTTATTGCTCGTACTTTTATTAAGGGACACGTCTTTCAAAAAGTTTAAGTGGGAAGTGGATGCGCCGTCACCAGATGACGATTTTAAGGTCTCTTTGTTACATGATTTTTTTCGTTTCTGCAGTTAATATTTACAAACAATTTCATTTCCTCGTAAAATCCAAATTTGTCCTCGGACCATGACAGAGCTCCAGGGAGTATTATTAAATGACATGTTAGCCTCATTTCAACTAACCAGGTTTATAGTAATCATGTCGGTACCTGATAATACCGTGATATCAAATAATATATTAAATTTTATGATGAAACGATGTTAGTGAATTCATCATCTCATCACAACATTTTACTAGACTGGCCTTTTGATCAAATCTTTTCAACGGACAGTAGATATTGACTCTCAATAGCTGTATTGTTATGAAGCTGTGTGTCTATACGAGTGTTTTTACAATATAGCTACCTTTATGAAAATATATAGACTCACCATGTCAGGGAAGAGACGGAACAATTTCATTCGATCAATAACCAGCTCAGGACAAATTCATTTGATACTTTTGATGTGCGAGTGACTTGACCGCGTCCTGTACAAACAGCTTCACTCAACCTTGCAGGATTTGGATGTGCGAGTGACTTGACCGCGTCCTGTACAAACAGCTTCACTCAACCTTGCAGGATTTGGATGTGCGAGAGACTTGACGCGATAACGTCCTACAAAAAGCATCACTTGACCTTACAGAACAAGAACACGCCGAACTCCATAAACTCTCTTTAATTATAAAAGGAATATTTAGAACACCATAAAAATTATTACGTATATATTGATGAAACAAAAAAGTGTAAATCCGATGAAGGACTGATGAAACTATTACTAGTACATTGATAAACGGTTTTAGAACTAATTTTTCTAACATCTATTAACTGTAATTATAACTATCAATGGAATAACTCGTCAAAAATAATTAGATCCTGCTTGTTACATGTTACTAAAAAACCAAAATTTAGGCTGTACATTGGAATACAATATCAAAGTTTCAACAGAGTCGTGATCCATTGTTATTTGAACATTATAATTTTAAATGATAACTTAATTTAAGTTCATGTTGTGACAATCAAATAGCACGCGGTTGCAACATATAAAAATGTATTTGCATAACCTTATTGTAGTAACATTTTTTCCAATATTTCTTAAATAGTAAGTTCTTCACTGGTAAGTACGGATGCAATTTAAATGATATATTAAATTTGGGATGAACGGAATGAAATGAAATCCATCCAAAAATTTATTTTAAATTGTTAAATCTCATTGCATGGAAATTAACTGTCAAGGAGTAGATATTCCAGTTTACTGAATTTACGTCAAAAACTTTTATTTGTGTCATCATGAGTTGTACGAGTATATCATTCTACATCGAAATTGCACTTATGAATAATAAAATAATTCAATTCCGCAGTGTTGACCAAACAAGTAAGATAATACTTCGATAAATCTACTATCAATTTAATCCCGTAGTTTTTATCAAAAAGTAGTAAAATTCTTGGGTAAGTTATAAATCAATCTTATTCTGTAGTATTGTAGTAATAACTAAAGAAAAATACTCGGATACGTCGATCATCAATTTAATTCCGTAGCGTTGACGGAACAATTAAGAAAATACTTGGATGAGCCCAGCATAGCCTATAGGAATTTCTGACAGATTAACCGGCACATAATAAAGCCAAGGCTGATCTGGAGGGGGAAAATAATCAGCTGCAGTGTTCGCTGCTCCCTTAATTGTGGATGAAAAACGGCGGCTGTGACCAGAGACGGCTGAGGGATAGACCTTATTTGAGGGAAGACGAGTGATGAAGCCGATGCTCCGAATGGGTCGAAATTCGATCAACTGAGCCTATAGGGGTCGAATTTTTTAACCTGTCTCGCGCAGAAATTGTGAATCATACAACAAAGATTTTTACGATTCAACTCATTATTAATAAAATTTAGCTTTCAGTCAAAATTTCGTTCTTAATACAAAATAAAAAAAATACATTTCGCTCGAAAACCGAATTGTATTTCGCTCAGTCTGAACGCGAGACTCGAGATGTACATATCTATGCTCTGAAATTATATCTCAAACCTCTCTTTGAGAGGTCTTTGGAAGAGACTTTATTTGTTTCTGTTTTGATACCGGTGCGTCATGTTTGAACGACTCAACTTGTTTTTAAATGAATTTACTGCAACCTTCTTGCACGCAAACAGCGAA